TAGTTAGGTAGTGGTGCTTTTTATTGAAATTATGAATATCAGAGAAGAGCAGATTTGAGACATAAGGGTGTTCAGTTGAATATTCAGGAGTTCTTATTAGGGAGCTGAAATGGGTGCACAGGAGCTTCAATTAGGGAATTTCTTTGGGTGATACTTAATTGTAGGGGGAGCCCTGAGAATGATAGAAAAGGTCATGGAATATGGAATCAGAAGACACACTGAATTCTGGTGTCACAATAGCTATGTGATGTTGCATTGACAAATCACTCCCTCTGAGGGGTTAATAATATACTTGTCTTATTCATCTTGTGATATTATGAGGACTAAGTGAAATCATGCAGGCAAAAGCCAGTATGGAAGAACTCAAGAATTATGCAGTCACACAGTGTATAGTAAAAGGAAATAATGTAGTTTATATAAAATATTGAGTTGGTAATTGAGCATTGTACCTTTTTTTTTTTTTTTTTAAAGATTTTTATTTATTTGACAGAGAGAGACAGCAAGAGAGGGAACACAAGCAGGGGGAGTGAGAGAGGGAGAAGCAGGCTTCCCACGGAGCAGGGAGCCTGATGTGGGGCTCGATCCCAGGACCCTGGGATCATGACCTGAGCCGAAGGCAGACGCTTAACGACTGAGCCTCCCAGACGCCCCTAGCATTGTACCTTTTTATCCTCATGCTGTCACTGGTAAACTATGGGGCCTTGGATAAGTCACTCTTTCAGTAGCCAAGTTTTTTTTTTTCTATCTCCCTCCCCCACCCCCCCACAAGTGAGGTCTTCAGATTAAGTGATCTCTTGGGTCCTTTTAATGCTAAAATTCTATAATTTCCTCTTTACCAACATATCCTTTATATAAAGGAAATAGATTTAGAATAAAAGGAAAGTAACATGGCAAAAGTTACAGGAAAAAAAAAGTTATGGAAAAAGTTTTGTTTTGTTTTTCCATAATGAAAAGTGCCCCCAAAAGAACGGAGGATAGAATATGAAAAGAAATGAATGGGAAAGGTTAGGGAAGTAATAGGCAAGAATTAAAGATGACGTTAAAATGGGTGTGCAGTGTTTTGAGTTACTCTTGGAATAAATATATAAGATTTTCTATCAGTTAAGCCAGTGCTTGAGCTATTCATCAGTGCTAGCATTATAAAGAATTTTAGAGATAAGTAATATGGTGTTGGTCTTCAGGAATGAATTAGCTAGGAATATAAGCTCTCTCCTGCCGACTCATCTTCCTGTTTAATTCCAATTGAAGACACTCATAAAGATAATTTTTCCTATTTTATCTCCCAGATACTTGAGAATCACTTTAAATCTTTAGTTGAGGCTTTCTCGTTAGCATAACATGGCACTAGTTTGCTTAATGGTTGTAAATCTTGGGATTTTAATAATATATAGTATTAATAATTCTCCTTAACATAAGTTACTAAGGTTTGCATTTTCCTAAATGTGAAATATTTAGGAGACACATCCAGGATGTTTAGGAGAACAAAGAGCTATGACAACTTGCTGACTACCTTAATTGGTGCTGGAATCAGAATTCTTTTCAGTTCCTGCCAAGAAGAAACTGCAGATTTGCTAAAGGAACTGTCTTTAGTAGAACAAAGAAAGAATGTTGGTATTCATGTTCCGACAGTGGTGAACAGAAGTAAATGTGAGGCACTTCAGTTTTATCTGAGTATTCCCAATGTAAGTTATATAACTGCATTAAATATGTGTCACCGGTTTTCTTCTGTGAAAAAGATGACTAACAGGTACGTCTGTTTTAATATTTTTAGATGGTTACTTTTAAATGATTCTTAGAAGTATTTCATAGAAATTTTAATTTTTTTAAAAATAAAGATGTATAGCACCTGTTAAGATTATCTCATTTAGTAAAGACTTTTTGCTTGCCAGTATGTTACAGCCACTGCATGCAGGTGTGGATCTTAATGGGGGGTAAAAATAGGCACTGCCTTTAGGGAGCTTAGAGTCCTCTGGGAGCTAGACAGACAGCTCTTATATTTGAGCTTGCATTCTAACATTCCTGGGCTGTTTAGTTCTGTAACTAGACAAATGTGACAGTGTAAATTTTACTAGTTTTTGTCTATTGCTTGAAAAGGAAGATTTCAGAAAATAGGTTATTTTAATTAAAATAACCTGTGTAAGATATTGAAATTATTATTATATATGACTTTAAATATAGAGAATATTTTATTTAAACTCGTGCTAAGGACATATTAACTCTTTTACGTTTGGTAGTCTTTAAGCAAGTAAGAATATTAAATTGTACAAGTCAAAAGTTCTAATTTATTTTTCAGCTCACCTCAAGAAATCTCCATATATGCACAAGTAACTCATCAGAAGGCTGAGGAAATATATAGATATATTCACTATGTATTTGACATGCAAATGTTACCAGATGGTCTTAACCAAGGTAGACTACAATCTGATGCATGATCATACTGCTCAGGTGAGGTTATGAAAGAACTCTGGCAATACTAAATGTACTTCAATAATCACTCCTGTGGCTTGTTATGATCAGTTTAAAATATGTAAAAGAATATTTTCCTATTTTATATTGTGTACATTTATATTTATATAGATTATAAATTATTTTAAAAGAAAACCTGATGTTCAGTAATCATTTTGATTAACTAGATTATGAAATTTATTTTTTATTGAATTAAAAAGGTTTATTGAAGTTGCTATTAAGAAGGTAAAAGCTCGGGCGCCTGGGTGGCTCAGTTGGTTGGGTGACTGCCTTCGGCTCAGGTCATGATCCTGGAGTCCCTGGATCGAGTCCCGCGTCGGGCTCCCTGCTCAGCAAGGAGCCTGCTTCTCCCTCTGACCCTCCCCCCTCTCATGTGCTCTCTCTCTCTCATTCTCTCTGTCTCAAATAAATAAATAAAATCTTTAAAAAAAAAAAAAAGGTAAAAGCTCGAGTTAGAGATGTATGTTAGAAAATTTCCAGAGATTATAGTACTGTATTTGCCATTTGTTAGCATAATAGGTTGAGGTGTCTGACTGCTGCCAACTTAATGGTCATAAATAATTTTTCTATATATAAATGATAGTATCATCTAGAATATTTTATTTATTTATTTATTTTTTAAAGATTTTATTTATTTGAGAGAGAGAGAGAGAGCACATGAGAGGGGGGAGGGTCAGAGGGAGAAGCAGGCTCCCCGCCGAGCAGGGAGCCCGATGCGGGACTCGATCCTGGGACTCCAGGATCATGACCTGAGCCGAAGGCAGTCGCTCATCCAACTGAGCCACCCGGGCGCCCTAGAATATTTTAAATGTCCTGAGTCTACATACATATCGTGTAAGATGTGAATGGTACGTGTATCATGAGTAACTAGGAGAGATGAAAATTTAACAGAGTATGATTATCTTACCAGAAGTGTCCCAATCAAGTATAGTCAAATCCTGTTAGTATGAATTCCAACCTACACTGCTTTTTTTGTTGTTGAAATATATTCAAAGGGTAATATTGGCTTAGACTTGGAAAATTGGTTAGTATAGATAAGCTGTTGAATGTGGACTTCATTGTGCCCATAATAGTCTGTCTGTGATGCTATTACCATTTTAAGATGTCTCCATGTTACCAGATGTCTCCATCTGCAACATCTGAGGCCCTCCTAGTTAGTCTAGTGCTAATGCAGCCTTTAACTATTGATCCCCCCCCCCATTTAGAGTCCTTTATTCTCTGGTTGCCCCCCATTTAGAGTCCTTTATTCACTGCAGGGTAGTTGAACCAACCTCACAGTAGAGTTCTCCTTGCCTTACACCAGGCAGGGACTTCAGAGTTCATCTAATTCAAATTGCTTTTCTCTTTTCTCATCAGGTAGAAGTGAGGCCCACAAACAAGTGACTTATTCAAGTTTACTGGGAAATCTAGAACCAGAATCCAGGAACTAGATACAGTTATTTTCACTAAAAAATTACTCTTAATTGTGAACTTAGCTTCTTTGTGGTAGTATAAATTCTTAATTCTTCTGAGAGCAGATTTCATAGTTCTGCTGTTCAATAATTCTGTCAAAGTCAGAGAGAAGTATTGGCTCATGTCCAGTTATTGATTTATCTCTCAGGCTCAAATTTACTCTTTAGTATCTTGCTTTATTATAATGGACTGGATTTTTTGAACATTTCTCCCTACAGTGGGCATGATTTAAGCTTTGTCAGTAGAAGGAAGAAAGGGGCTTCTTTCTGGTTCCAGTGTGCTGTTCTGCTGCTTTTTGCTTACATGGTGTCAGCGATGCATGTGGGTGGGGACATTTGGTCCCTACCTGGGTGCCAGAAGCATGCAGTTCCTTAACTTCACATTGACCTGGGCTGATGACCACCTTGGAGCATCTCCCATGCAGACACCAATGTGCTCAAATTCTTTGTGTCCAACCACCAGACAGAGTATTTTATAAATTAACATGCTGTGAGAGACTTAACCTAGAGGATTTCATTTATTTATGCTTCTGTGTATAGAGCTCTATCCATATTTAAGCTGTAGTAGCCTTCTTTATACTCTCATTGGTAGCACTTAACTATCAGCCCTATTGATTATTAATCCATCTTTGAGGCCACTTTTAAGACTCCTTTGGAGGTTACTTTAAGCTGTACTAGCTTATCTTATGACCTGATGGAAAGAAATGGTATTAAGCAGGTACCTGGCAGGTGGAATACAATAAAGTAGACTAGGAGGGACACTGAAGGAGTTCCAACAGGACACAGGGAATATGGGGGCGGGGAAGGGGGTGAGGCCACAGTTTTTGGTGTTGTCTGTGCAACATCAAAATTATCTTTTTGTTTCTCATTATGGAATTTAAGTACCTTCTAACTCCTTAAAAACACTATCCATTAACATTAAACAGCATGGTATTATACCAAATATTGGCAACTTAAGTTATACAACAGTATTTCACTCTAAAATAATCCCTTCATTTGTTCCATCCTACGTCTAAAATCTTTGTGGCAGGAACAATTATGAACTCAGTCTAATATCTCATCAATGTTCTTTTTAAATCTTGTGTTTCCATAAATTCTATAGTTATATAACTGCTGATTATTACTGACTAAATTCTTAAGAAACAAGAAAAATGTATATTTTACTAAAAGTTCTGATATTTTTTGAGGCAACAAGCTGAACCAGTAACAAAGTGCATATTTGTTTACTTTCCATGATTCAGTAATCAAACAAGAACCAAAATAGAAATATTATAAAAGCAAACCAAGTTTATTTGAACAGTCTAACTGGAGAGAAAGGATAAGTCGATATATACTATAACCACAGGCAAAATATTCTATGTCAAATTTCAAAACAGAGTGGCAGATTAAGCTAAAAAAAGGTTTATTTCTAAAGGAGCTATCTGAAAGGAAAATAATGTTTACCATGACATGGCATATTAACCTGACTCCTTACAATGGTAGATCAACTACTTGAATGTTTGTCTAATCCACTTTTTAATATTGAGACCAAATGTAAACTATGTCTGCATATGTAAATATGGTGTAATGCAACAAAATTTGTTCTCTGATTCTACCTAATAAAATACTGAAAAAGCAATAAATTTATATAGGTTTCATAGATATGCCAATCACAAGTTTTAAGAAAAAAATCAGGAGAAAGAGTGTCAGTTTCAACAACATGTAATTTAAACATAAGATCAATTCTGGCTTGTATACCAAGTGGTAACAAATGCTTTTCATGAATTCAGTAGCCAGCAGTAACAATCTACTTTTCATTCTCCCTCCCCTATCCCTTAAGGGTAGCAACATTTTCTTGGAAGCTTTTAAAAAATCTGTTTGGAACATGATTTTCTTAAAGTAAACAGACTTGGATGCTTAAGAGACTTATCTAGAATATTTTAATATTGCAAAACCCAGAAATTTACAAATATCTATACAAGCAAAACAATTTTCCTTATACTTTAGTAAGCTGCAGCAATGAGGAATATTTACAGAATGATGTTTTACTTTGAATACAAACTCCTAAAACCTTTGAGAAGGAATCCACAATTTCATATGAAGGTACATTTTAAGGAAAATATGTGTATTCCAAAAGAAGATACAAAAATCTGCTTCTTGATAAAAATCCTGGAAATATTTTCTCATTTTTACTATGTAGAATCAGAGTTTGAAAAATAATCATCTTTCTCTTCTTCATCTAAAGACTCCATAGCATTAGTGAAAAGTTTTCCAATACCAGAGTTTTCTCCTAATTCTGTAAAGAGAAGTTTAATAAAAAAAGATTAATATACTTCTAAAAGCAATTTCATAAAATTGAAAAGAACTGAGAAACTGAATAGTAGGTCTGCCCATTTGAGAGCAGTTAATTTTAGTACCATGTTAATAAGAGACTATCTTATAATAGATTAAGCTACAAAAGAAAAATTACCTTTGTTAAACAGGGTTTTTTTTCTTGATGTTGGAGTTGAAAAATCAGTTTCAACCTGCAAGAAAGTTCATGTTAATAGCTAAATAGTACCTCCTGTGAATTCTGCCTCAAACATAGACAAAAGAAGCATGCTTCATCCCAGGTATCTTGAACACATGCCTATAATGATACCTAATCACATTATAATTATCTGTGAAATGTCTAATTATCTTTTAAGTTGAATTTATCTAGGGCAAGAGCACTTATTCAAAGTTGTTTCCCATTGCTGGAAAACATGACTATAAGAAAATATTACAAACTAATGCTGCAGAGGTGAAAGGAGAGTCTATGGGCCTCTGACAGTTGCCAAAATCTAAGTACTCATTCCAGTCCATTACACTAGCAAAATTTAAATTCTTGTCTAAAATGTTAATTTATATGACAAATTTTAAGTGTGTAGTATCTGCTTATTACATCAATGATTTTTAAACTTTTGGCCATGGCTGGCTACCTTTAAAAAATGAAAAGGAATAGAATAGAAAATATGACAGGGTATATCCACTGTACTAAGGGTAAATATAGTTCAAACTTTTGAGATACAAACTCATGTTCAGGTTGTGACATAAATGTATTGTTTCTTGTGAAGTGAGTCAAAAACACTATTCTATCATTTAGCTCTCAAAATCATTCAGTGGCATCAAACCAGTATCACGATTCCCATGTCAACGATAACCATACATGAATAAAATGAGATTAGAAAGCCCAAGTAGCTTGTTTTATTATAAAGCTGGTATGGGGAGTCAGGTCTTGAAATCAGAATTTTTAATAGTAAATCCTTTGCTCTTTCTATCCTCACACATTAGCTACAAAATATTAGTCTATGAAAAAAATAGGACTAAATCACAAGGATATTATAGTTTGGTAGACTGCTGCTGACATTATGACCCATTAAGAAAAACAGAAGTCCAGTAGTGGTTAGGATGATGTCAGAAATACAAAGAAATAAAAATTCTTAATAGGAAGGGTCCTTATGGATCTATATCCATGTGAACTTTTCATCACTGTGCAGAGAACAGACTGAATGGATGAGAATCTTGCTACTACTCAGCAACATAGGCATTTTCACCTGAAGCCTGTTAAAAATGCAGAAATCTCAAATCTACTGTATTAGGATCTGTTTAACAAGATCCCTAGGTGACTCCTATCCACATTCAAGTTTGTGAAACAATTGTCAAAACAACCCAACTTTTCACTGGCAAAATAGAGACTAGAAGCCAATGAAGTCTTTCTCACTATGTTGATTCCAGGTCCTTTGCAACAAACCAAAATTTCATTCTCCAGTCCCAGAAGCTAAGAATCACTGAGTCTGTCTACACCCTCAATTTTGGAGATTTCTCTTAAAGAATTTAGTCTCCAGGCTGATTTTAAGTATCTGCCATTTCCAGTGGATAAATGAAACCCACAGATTGGATGTGATTATGTAATCCCAATGTTTAGTTTAGAAACTCTCTGAGAAGAATTATACTCTTGCAAGTGTGCAATATAAATATTTCAACATGGGTGAGGGAGGAAGAGATTGCCATAATCTGGTCAGAAGGAATATACAATCAGGAGATAAGGTGGTGGTCCACTGTACCTCCATAAATTATTATTCTCTAAGACTATTTACTTTTAGGGCAAGAACTCTTACATAACTTATAACTTCCACAATTTGCCATATATTATAGTTGTTCAATAGATGTGATGAATAAATGAAGAATAAATAAACTTACTGTTTTTTTCTTGATATTGCCCCAGACAATGCCACCTTTACTTTTATGGGTTTTTTGCATACGAAAAACATACTTATCACAATCATTCCTGTTTGAATACAAAATTTTAAGTCAAAATTAACTACCATACTTCTATCCACAGCTTGAGTAGCAATTGACAAAATTAATTTAAAATGTGTTTTGATCTTTAAAAAGTATTATTTTCTGGGAAAAAGTATATTTTCTGGGAAGTATATATATATTTTTTGGGGAATAAAAAAACTGTTGGGACTACATCAAAATAAACAGCTTCTGCACAGGGAAGAAAACAATCAACAAAATTAAAAGGCAACCTATGGAATGGGAGAAGATATTTGCAAATGACATAACTGGTAAAGGGTTAGTTTCCAAAATAAAGAACTTATACAACTCAACACCCAAAAAAGAAATAATCCAATTAAAAAACAGGCAGAAGACATGAATACAGTTCCTCAAAGACATCCAGATGGCCAACAAACACATGAAAAGATGCTCAACAGGACTGTCAGGGAAATACAAATCAAAAGTACATGAGATATCACCTCGTACCTGTCAGAATCAACACAAACAATAGGTGTTGGTGGGGATGTGAAAAAGGGGAACCTTCGTGCACTGTTGGTGGGAATGCAAACTGGTGCGGCCACTGTGGAAAACAGTATGGAGGTTCCACAAGAACTTAGTAATAGAGGGGTGCCTGGGTGGCTCAGCCATTAAGCGTCTGCCTTCAGCTCGGGTCATGATTCCAGGGTCCTGGGATCGAGCCCAGAATCAGGCTTCCTGCTCAGAGGGAAGCCTGCTTCTCCCTCTCCCACTCCCCCTGCTTTTATTTCCTCTCTCCCTCTGTCAAATAAATAAATAAAATCTTTAAAAAAAAAAAAAGTTAAAAATAGAGCTACCCTACAATCCAGCAATGACACTACTGGGTATTTACCCAAAGAATACAAAAATACTAATTCAAGGGGATCTTGCACTCCAATGTTTAGAGCAACATTATCTACAACAGCCTAATTATGGAAACAGCCCAAGTATCCATCAACTGATGAATAAAGTGTGTATATATATACACCCACACACACTAGAATATTACTCAGCCATAAAAAAGATTGAAATCTCTCCATTTGCTACACACATGGATGGAGCTAAAAAGTATGTTAAGCAAAATAAGTCAGAGAAAGACAAATACCATGTGATTTCACTCATATCTGGAATTTAGGAAACAAAACAGATCAACATGAGGGGAAAAAAAAAGAGAGGCAAACCAGGAAACAGACTCTTAACTATAGAGAACAAACTGATGGTTACCAGAAGGGAGGTAGATGGGGCGGATGGGCTAAATGGGTGATGGGGATTAAGGAGTATACTGGTGATAAGCACTGGGTGTTGTATGGAAGTGTTGAATCACTGTATTGTACACCTGAAACTAGTATGTCTGTAATGTTAACTAGAATTTAAAAACTTAAAAACAAGAACAAAAACATATTTGTCTTTTCCATTTTTAAAGAGACAATGGTGTACTGATGGACAAAATGCTTCAGCCTAACATTTTAAAGGAAACACTGAATAAGAATATTCTAGGAAATTACGGTTTAAATTATTGTTCATTGCCCCATTTGTGCTCTTTACAATCACTATCTTGCTGCCTGCCTCTCTTTTCCAAAATTCACTGAGACTTCTTGTCCCTGGACTCCCTTTTATGGACCTCTCACTCCTTTCTACTATTCACTTCCTTCCCTATCCAAATTGAATCTTACAGTTAACCACTTTAAGGATACACCTGGTGATGAAAACCCTCAATTAATTTATAGCTTCCAACTAACTGTTGAGTCATTTCTTTTTAGCTTATTTCCACCCCCCTCTCATTCTTAGCTAATAGGCTTGGCTCAACTTGCAGACACAAATTGAAGCCAAACAGGACGGCTGTTCCCATTTCCCCTACAGTTCCTAGTCCTGCTTATGACCGTAAATACCAGCTGAGCACCAATTCTAATTCTCTCTCCTGGCTTCAGGATCCTTTATGATCAATTATCCTTTCCTTTATGATAATTTGGAAGCAACCTTAAAGCTGACATGTAGAAATTTCTAAATGTGTGACTGTATTAAGATATTAATGTGAACCACACACAGTGCTGCAGAGCTAGTCAATAAGCCTGGCCAGCTGTTCAGGGTCAGCACCTCATGAGTCTGTTGTCCTGTACGAAAAAATCACTTCTGAAATGATAAAACTGTTTCATTATTTAAAATAAAAAGGAAGCCACTTATTAGAGCTGGTGAGTCAAGAGATAGTGTAGAGGCCTAGGAAACTCATTTTTTAAAAGGTTTAGGACATATCTTCATGATACAAATGAGTCCACCATGTGTTCTATTCGGGGGAAAAAAAAGATGTATTTCCATCATTGTAAAAGTGATATAAAAAAACAAAACAAAACACCAAAACTCACTTCAATGTAATTCTACAACCTAGAAGGATAATGGCTGGTGATGTTTTTTAGTCAAGAAATTTCCTTTCTGAATACATGTTATGTAAATTGGAATATTGTTTATAATTTAATTTCTTAGCTTTTAAAATCTATTGTCAACTGAACATTATTCTTTGTTGTTAAAAATTCTGGAAGGCATGATTTTTAGTTGTTACATATTATTCTATTATATGGACAAATCTAATTTCTTAACTTTATTGGACATTTAGGTCATTTCAGTATTATGTTTCATGATGAACATCTTTGTTCATACAAATGTACATACATACTTGCCCAAATATATTTCCTTATAACTGACGAACAAAGTTCAAGAGCCAAACGGATGAACATTTTAAAGCTTTTGATGATTTGGCCAAAGTGCTTACCAAAAACTTTGTCCAAAATTATACTCTCAATATACCTTCACCTGCAATGAATACTAAATCAAAAACAAACAAAAAATATCTTGTGGATTGCTGGGGAAAAATTATGTTTTTACCAAATAAATGCAAATTAAAATTTCACTAAGCTTCAGGAGAGGACTGAATATTTTTCTCAGGCGTTATTATCTGACCTCTGCCTCACACCCATGGTGATTACTCTTCATAAAATCAGCATTGTCCTGCTTGATTGCCAAATGGAATGGCTTATTTTCAGGCCTCATATTTATTACTTTACATCTTTTCTCTGTGTCATTCAATTGCTGGTCGCCCCTGATTTTTCTTAATTTTATTTGTATTTCAAGTAGTTCCTATATTCACATGGTTCAAAATTCAAAAAGTTTCCCTCTTATTCTCATCTCCAAGTGACCTTAGTTCCCTTTTTGTAGGGATCACTAATGTTTTCAGTTTCTTATATATTCTTTCAGATATATTTAATCAAAGAAAAGCAATTACATACATATGAACGGATAACATATACAAGTACACACACAGCCCCTATTTACACAAATAATTCACTGCATCTAACTTTTTCACTTAATATATCTTGAACATTTTACCATAATAGTACATAAAGAATTCATTAATTTCTATGGCTACATAAGGTACCAGAATTTGATTAGCATTTGAGTTGCTTCCAGTCTTTTGCTATTATAAACAATACTCTAATAAGCTGTGCATTCACTATTTGAGAAGCAGGTCTGATAGGTCAAAGAGCATGTGTATTTACAATTCTGACAGATATTGAAAAATTGCTTCTTGCACAGACTGTACTAATTTACCTTCTCACTAGTAATGCATGAGAACGGCTTTCCATTCCTCTTAATTTGTAGGAGTGCTGCATTAGGAAAATTAGGCTTTTCCTTTGATGAGTTCCATGTATTCTTTTGTCAGATCACTGCTTATCTTTTGATTGCTTATGGTAGTTGGTACGGGGTAAAACTATCTGGTTGACTTTTTTTTTTTTTTTTAAAGATTTTATTTATTTATTTGACAGAGAGAGACACAGCGAGAGAGGGAACACAAGCAGGGGGAGTGGGAGAGGGAGAAGCAGGCTCCCCGCAGAGCAGGGAGCCCGATGCGGGACTCGATCCCAGGACCCTGGGATCATGACCTGAGCTGAAGGCAGTCGCTTAACCAACTGAGCCACCCAGGCACCCTATCTGGTTGACTTTACGATTCTTTTTGTTAGTGTCTTCTGAGTCTTGCATTATAGTTTGAAAAGACTTTCACTAATCAATGATTATCAAATAATCCTCCAAGGTTTCTTTAGGTATATTTTATAGTATAATTTGTTATGCAAAACTCTGATCCATTTGGAATTTATCCTGATGTAAAGTGTGAGCTGTGTCCTACACTACTGAACAAATATCCCTACTTGTTCATCCTTGACTTCTAGGAGCTATTCTTTAATTTTTTTTAAAATTTTTTTTTTTTATTTTTTTTTTTTAAGATTTTATTTATTTATTTGAGAGAGAGAATGAGAGAGAGAGAGAGCACATGAGAGGGGGGAGGGTCAGAAGGAGAAGCAGACTCCCCGCCGAGCAGGGAGCCTGATGCGGGACTCGATCCCGGGACTCCAGGATCATGACCTGAGCCGAAGGCAGTCGCTTAACCAACTGAGCCACCCAGGCGCCCTTTTAATTTTTTTTTAAATAACTCTTCTCATTACTGACATCTACTACCCAACTCATGAAATGCTGATGCAGAGAATTACAGTATCATATGCATATTTACCTATTTATAGAGGCTAGCATGCCAGGACTGACATGCTGACACTGAGGAGTTTTTGCCAGTGGAAAGACAACTGATGATGGAGTTGTTGGATTTTTGTCCATACTTGGCAGAATATCATCCTCTTCTGCACTGTCCTGGAGACTTGGCAACTAGAAAACAAATATTTATTACCAGCCAGCAGACAACCCTAAAAATGGAATTTCTCATTATCACGAAATGTTTTTGGGTGGGCTAATAAGTTGTTTTCCTCCTTATAATTTTCCAACTGAGATAACTAAACTAATAGTGGTTACAGAACAGAGCCTTGGCCTTTAAAAAATTTTGGTTCTATTGTGTTAAACAGAGACAATGACGCCTATTTCTAAAAGTTGTGAAAAGACCAGGGGTCAGCAAATGTTCTCTGTAAAGTGTCAGATAGTATTTATTTTAGGCCTTGTGGTCCATACAGTCTCTGTCCCAAATATTCAACTCTGCTGTTGTAGCATGAAAGCAGACATAGCTAAGTAAACAATGAACATGTCTGCGTTCCAATAAAATTTTGTTTCTAAAAAATGTGGCCTGCCAGATGGGACCCATGGGTCATGGTTTGCTTACCTCTGTGTAAATAGAACAAAACAGAACTAATTCATTGATTATTATGCTTGGCACTTAATAGGAACTCAAGCAATAATAAACTTTTCTGTATATACATTTCCAATAAACAGTTCAATCCTTCATTAAGATTTTACCTTCCTTTACATTAAAACCTTACAGAAACCTAAAATGATGGTAGAATTATATAAAGGATATAACCCCTAAAGGACCGTGGTTGTTATGCAGGGAACATAGTAAGAGCCTCAGATGGCTCCTTAAAATACCTCCCTTTATTATTTATGCAATAAATAATTACATAGGCTGAAAGACCCCAGATAATGATGTTACTAAATTCTTAAAGCATTGTGTAGCCTTTTAATATTGGAGATGATGTAACAATATTAAGAAGTAAATTAAAAAATTATCCCCGAAGTTCAGCTCACCAAAACAACTCTGAATTTTTACTTCTATCAGTTGTCTGTATCTATCCATTTTTGCATTAATCTTAATACTCTTAATATTTACATTTATATTCTAGAAATAGTCTCAAATTTGCAATTAATATTTATATTGTATTTGACTGTTTATGAAGAATATCCTTATTGGATATATACATTGCTTCCTGTTTGCTGCTGTAAAGATAAACCTGCAATGAATAACTCTGTCAAGATTTTTGGCTTTGGGGCACATGGGTGGCTCAGTCGATTGAGAGTCTGCCTTCGGCTTAGGTCATGATCTCAGGGTCCTGGGATGGAGCTCCGCGTTGGGCTCTCTGCTCAGTGTGGAGTCTGGCTCTCCCTCTCACGCTCTCTCAAATAAATAAAATCTTAAAAAAAAAAAGAATTTTTGGCTTCTTTTGAATTTCTTAGGGTAAATTCCAATGAATATAATTAATTTAATGGTTCTTGAACATGGCCATGATGCTTTCCAAAATGTATGATTCATTTTACATCCACTGATGATTGGCTACATCAGTATCTCCACTGCTTTTGTTAGTGGATATTTTAACTTATTTTTACAAAAGATTCTGTAACTTAGAATATATACATATGGGTTACTTAGTTTTCCTTTGATTGTCAGCTAATATAACCACCTCCCCAAGTATTCACTCAGTCTTTTAAATTTTTTTCTTGCCCACTTTTTCCCTGCAATCTTGACAATTTTTTTTAAAGATTTTATTTATTTGAGAGAGAGAGCGAATGAGCATGAGCGGGGGGAGGGGCAGAAGGAGAGGGAGAAGCAGACGCCTCACTGAGCAGGAAGCCTGACACGGGGCTCGATCCCGGGACCCTGAGATCATGACCTGACCCAAAGTCAGATGCTTAACTGACTAAGCCACCCAGGCACTCCTTGACAAATTTTATTAATTCTAGTAACATCTGAATTAGTCCTTCATATTATAAACACTGGCTTTGTTTGTTGAAAATATTTTTTCCAAATCACTGAAGTTTTTAGTTATATGATTTTTCATACTACAAAAATTCTTTTATACATTCAAATGTCAACTTTGTGCTGCCATTAAATCCCTCCACTGAATTTACTATACAGTAGGTAATACCTTATAAGTTTGCCTCATTGCATATGAAATTTTAAATATATACATTTAGCCTATTTAAACATTTCTGGGTTTTCAGTTTGGCTCTACACCCATTACCTTTGGAACTCACTAACGGGTAGACTCTGGACACTGATGTACTGGCAGACTGCTTCCTACACTATACTTTGGGTCATGTCTGTGGAACTATCAATCCTTGGCCTAAATATTAGGGATGAACACTAACAATACATAAAAATGAAAGATGTAAAAGTCAATATAAAGAAAGCAATGATTTCATGCACTTAAGACTCTTACCAGTACTCTTTGATTCTGCAAAGGTGTTGTACTGAAAAAATCATCATGATCATCTTTTGGCAACTGTTCCAGAAAATCCCTCATTTGCTGCTTCCTTTTAAGAGTTCCCACTTTGGCAGTTATCTTAATAATTTGCTTCTTATCAGCATCACCTATCTTGCCTTAGGAGTCAGCAAAACATTTGATAAGGATTTGGTCATTTATAGTAACTGCTCTAAAGTTAACAGACTTTGTAAAATCTAAATTATATATTTATATTAAGTAAACTCATCCTCTATTAATAAGTCTCCTATATAACAAAAGATTCTTTCTGTACTGGGATCTATGCAATATAATTAGCCCACAAGATACTCATGAAGAAACTACATAAGATTAGCCAGGGTGAGGTGGAAAAGGTCTTTACCCAGTAGGAAAGAAAGGTTACCTCCTACATTCCCCTTGCTGAATGTCTAATTTATTGATTTTGTAAAAATATAAACCTTACTGAATTAGGACAAGGACAGGATATTCCCAAAGGTTAGTATAAGCTCTGTCATAAACCCTGAGCAGGAATGTGTACTCCTGGGGAATATGAAAACTAAATTTATTTTTAATTTTATTATGAATTTCTACCCAAGTGACCTCAAATTAAATTAGACTCTTAGAACAATAATCCAGATACTGAAATCTTTAGATCTAACTGCAGATTTCCTAGAACAAATTCAAAGCACAAGGCTGCTAAGGCTACTATTAATGGAATTAACTATCTAGATAAGACTGAAAAATTAAACAGGTGATCTTCAGAATTCTTTCTAGCTTTAAAATTTGGAGAAAACACCTATAAGACAATGATACATGGATAAATATATCTAGTGAGTGATTAGAAATCAATACAGAGAACTAGGCAAAAACAATTTACAAAGGTTACCATTTTGGCCTTTGGGATTGACTGTTTTTTTCTTAGTGACAGGTTTCTGGGATCCTTTTTCTCTGGGATCTTCCATGTATTTCCTCTGGCATTCTTCAGCAGATCGAGAACCTACAGCCATAGCTACATCTGACCAGAAACCAGATTTGTGCTTTGGAAGAGATGCAAAAGCACTATGGAAGACCAAAACCAGTTAAAGAACAAGAAATTCAAATCAATAAAAACAACCTCCTGAATACATACCACTAAATCAATGAGATTTATTGAGCTAAAGGAATTTTAACCAAAATCATTCTAGATAACTGGGAAGAAGATACTATTCCTTCCATTCCGTAACTTACTTGAGTGCTTAAAATATGAAGATGTAATTTTACGTATCTGGTAGGTATCTTCTATTTTGTTCTATTCTATGAAACCTGAAATTCATCTCAGGTCTTTCAACATCTTTTTCCTAAGTCCAACTATCAGTGATTTGATCTGTGGGACTCTAGCATGACTAACTTTTCAACACTGTTGCTCAAATCTTACCAGTGCTAAGTATATTGGAAAATGAGCTCTTAGTTATAAATTCTTATTAGAAAGTGTTATTCTTGCTCTCATTCTATCAATTTTACAGAGTGCAATATTTTACATATGATATTTGAGGGAAATGAAAATTGAAAGAGAAAAAAACTGTTAGTCAATATAAGGTAGTCAACCAAGTTAATAAACGAGTTATATTCTGAAAGTTTATTTGTAAATATTTAGAAACTGGTACACATATTTCTGCTTCTCTCCCTCCTCAAACAGATTTTACATATTGTGGTTAAGCTGCCATTTCAGCCAGAAAAGATCTACTTAACTCACCAATTAACCTATGCAGCATTATGCTGGTAAATTTTAAAAACCAGCTCTCTGGGGTTAAAAAGCCCTTATTTGTAGTGTTTGCCAATTTCCATATTGTAAATACCTCTATCATGGCTGATTTCAAGCTACCAACGTGATGTCCCTGAATGTGGAGTAAGAAACATGTGATAGGACACAATTACACAGAATTTCCACCACACAGATACAACTGATGTAAAGAACCTTAAGGCTAGATAATAATAATAAAATGTAAAATAATCAGGAAATGATGAGGTTAGGGTATTACTTAATAAATTTATCTAACTGTAAATCTATATGAATCAGCTCTTGTGAACAGGTACAAGTTGACTATAGAATACCACTCACTCCATTCATAAAAGGAAGACAAATACTTACAGGCATTAAACACTAATAAGTACTCTACTTTTTTGCATAATTAATCATTCTACAGGTGTTCTAAAGTGGAGAGCTAAAAGGATTTGGAGGTCAAGCTTCCCTATTTGTGTACATCGTTAATTTGCAAGTACAGAACTGCCAGAAGGACTATCTTTCATAATAAAAATACTTAATGCATTTAATAAAAAATTAGTCTGTAATTAACACATCTCTACTTTATCCCAGATAATTTTAAAAAGCAAGTATGTCACTGCAATCCTACTTAAAACCTGCTTTTATAGGTGACAGAGGGAGAAAAATACAACTTGCTTTTATAACTCACTAGCATAAAAACCAAAGTATTTAATATGACTTTTACATTGTTCTTGTCTCTCTAATCTCATCCTGTACTGTTCTGCCCTCATTTTCTGTACTCTGGTTATTTTGGCCTTCTCTCAGTATTTCTAAATATGTTTTCTTCCTGTTTCATTTAAAATGAACTTATGTAAATTTGGCTTAAATAATTTTTATTTGTCCTTCACATCTTAGTTCAAGTATCTGCTTACGCTAAGTCAGGTTTCCCTGTTATATTTTCATAAACCTCTTAGAGTGATTATTTGCTAACTAGGCTATAAGCATGATGAGGAGTATGTAACAGTGGGCTGCAACTAAGAATCACTTGAGGAGCTTACATCAAATGTACAACCAAGCAAATAAGTTACTAAAATAAGCAAATAGATTTACAGACTCTACCCCTGAAGATTTCAATTTAGTAGGTTTGCAGTAGCAACACTTTGAATTTTTCAAAAGCTCCTCAGGTGATTGTTCTGCCATGCAGTCAGGATTGGAACTGCTTTATGTTCCAAGAAGCATTAAGTATTATATCTAATTAAGAAAGAAGCCTTCTATCTAGTTAAGTGGGGTAGTAGGAATAGGTGATGACAAGGAAGGGTTATAGGAAGGAGTGACTGACATGTGAAATAAAATATGAAGGATGGATAAAATATAACAGGTGAAAATAAGGCAACAGTACTGGCAAAGAAATGAAGATGAGGAGACAGGACATAAGGTTAGGGAATAGAAAGTAGTCCATATTTGTAATATGGTAAACTTCAAAGGCATGGCTGCAGGTTAGAGCTTTGAGAAAAACTAGAAAATCAGAGCCCAAACCCAAGCCTGCCATATCTAAATATTTTAATAGTATGCAGTCTAGGTACCTTAACATTTTTTTTAAGGTATCATACTAGTAAAATTGTCTTTTTGGATATGGTTCTGTGAATCTTAACGAATATAAAGATTTGTATAACCACAATCACAATTAGGATGCATAACAGTTCCATTACACTGAAAAAATTCCTAGTGCTTCCTCTCTCTTGTCCACCACTATAACCACTGGCAATCATTGATCTGTTTTCTTAGTTTTTTCTTTCCAGAATGGAGTTCTGGAAATGGAATTATACAGTATGTAACCTTTTGAGCTGGCTTTTTTTTTCATTCAGCATACTGCCTTTGAAATTCATTCAGGTTGTTACATATATCAATAGTTCTTACTTTTCATTACTCAGTAGTCCATTTATTCTAACTGTACCATGATTTATTTATGTAGAAAGTTCCATAGAAATCAACAGAGATGAGCTCCATAAAACCACCCCATAAAGCTATTTGTGAACTTCTGTGCTCACATCACAAATTTTGACTTATTTTCATTTTTGTTCAGTTCAGTATTTTTTCTCCCAAGACTTCTTCTTCTTTGACCCATGGATTATTCACAAGTGTGTTATTAACTTTCAACTGCTTGGAAATGTTCCTGTTAGCTTTCTTTTATTGATTTGTGGTTTAATTCAACTATGATGAGAACAAACACCCTATGCATGACTTCAGTCATTTTAAATTTGTTTTTATGACCTAGTCAATGTTCTATCTGGTGAATGATCCACCTACCCTAGGAAAAGAATGTATTTTTTCCCCTACTGTTGGGTGGACTGTTCTACAAATGTTGATTAGATAGTTGGTCGATGGTGTTTTCAGTTCTTCTATAGCCTTGCTAATTTTCTGTCTACTAGTCAGTCAATTACAAGAGAAAAGCATTGAAGTTTCCAACTACAAATGTGGTTTTACCTATCTTTTCAGTTCAGTCATTTCCTTTTAGTTCTCTGATTTTGATTCATGTATTTTGAGGGTTTTTTTTTGTTAGGTGTATATACATTTAAGATTGTTGTCTTCCTGGTGAACTGACATTTCTTTTATCCTTGATAATTTTCTTGGTACTAAAATCTTTGACAGGTTTTAGTACAGCCATTTCAGCTATGAGTTTCCATGGTATTTTTCTATCCTTCTACTTGTAACTTACCTATTCATATTTGATGTTCTCTTACATGGCACTATAGCAGGGATGTTTTTGAATTCATTCTGACACTGTCCTAAATGGTACATTCAGACCACTAACATAATGTAATTATGTTTGGATTTAGGTCAATCATTTTATTTGCTTTCTGCTTTGTTCTGTTTTCTATTTCTCCTTTTCTGTCTTCTTTTGGGTTAAACTTTTTTTAGTGTTTCATCTATTATATATTTGAAAATACCTCTGTCTAGTTTCTTAGTAGTTGCTCTAGGAATTACAATACTTAATAGTCTACTTAGAATCAATATTTTACTGCTTCAAGTAGAATAGAAAATTTACCATCATAAGTCTCTTCATCCTTCCTCTTTATCTTGTAGCTGTTTTACGTATTAAACTTACATATACTCAAAACTCCAACATAAAATGTAGTATTTGCTAACCATTAAACACTTTAAAGAACTCAAGAAAACAGTCTGTTGTATTTATCCAGATAGTTACCATTTATCTTGTTATTCCTTCATTTCTGATATTGACTGCCTCCTTCGTCATTTGCATTCCGTTATTGAGCCTATCTAGTAAGTTTTTTATTTTGATTATCCTATTTCCCAGTTCTAAAATTTTCATTTGATCCTTCTTTTTTATCTTCTATGTCTGAGATTTTCTAAATTTCTGTCCAAGAATGTTTTAGTTCCTGGAGCTTTTTTTAAAAATTTTTGACTAAGGGGCGCCTCGGTGGATCAGTCATTAAGCATCTGCCTTTGGCTCACGTCATGATCCCAGGGTTCTGGGATACAGCCCCACATCCCATTTCCTGCTCTGTGGGAAGCCTGCTTCTCCCTTTCCCACTCCCCTTGCTTGTGTTACCTCTCTCGTTGTCTTTGTCAAATAAATAAAATCTAAATAAATAGATAAATAAATTTTTGACTAAAAAAGTCTGCTTTTATTGGCTGACTAAGCTACTTGAGAGGGATGAAGTGGGAGGAGTGGGTGGCCGGGATGCTCGGCCTGCAGTGCTTCACAAGCCTGTAGGTGGTGAAGAACTGGCCCAGGTGTGTCCAATCATCTCGGGCTTGATTTCCATCTGGTTGAAGGTCTTGCCCTTGTAGACACCCACCAGGCTGCCCACCCTCTTGGGCATGATGATCATGTCCCGCAGGTGCTCCTTAACCACCTCGCGCTATGCCTTGGGGGGAGCTTCCTTCTTGGCCTTCTGCAGGCGCTCCAGCAGTGAACGTGGCTTCCTCCGCAAACCGTGGTTCAGCCTCCGCTGCTGCTGGGCGCTGTACCAGGGGCTCCTGGACTGTCCAGCAGCTGGTCGAGGTCTGCGCCGCAGTAGCTGAACTTGGAGGGGGTGCGCTTCTTCTGCTCCACTTCTGCCATCTTGTCAGCTCTTCTAAAGGCTCCTGGAGCATTTTAATATACCTGCTTCAGGGTCTTGTCAGGTAATTACAACAGCTGTATCATCTCAGCATTAGCATCTTTTTTTTTTTTTTCGTGAGCTGAAATTTTCCTCTTCATATACTGAGTAATTCTGGACTATTTCCTAGGCATTCTGAAATACTGTAAAACTCTTGGTCATGTTTATCCACGGAGAATGCTTATGTTTTTGTTTTAGTAGGCAGTCAATCTGGTTGTAACCTGAGCTATTAATTCCAATCAGTCTTTCGTGGTTGTAATTTTAGTATGTCCTATTTTTAAAGCTTTGCAGTGCTATTAAAATAATCCTGTGTGGGGGACACTGAGTGGCTGGCTGGCTTAGAAACTGGGTGGCAGTCTACCTCTTAGTTCAGTTGTCAGTCTTGGGTATGCTGTTTAGGATCAAATCCTCACATGTGCAACTCAGGGGTGAGCCCAAAAGTTCATCAACAACTTTATATAGGGTTGCTTTCCCTAGCTCCTCCCTTTGCAATTTTTAGTTCCCCAGGGTTCCTGTTTTGGGTTCTCTGGCAGAAACCTAGGGTTTTAGTTACCCAGCTCTGCAGTACACTTCATACAACTGTATCTTTCTGCAGTGCCAAGCACAAAGGACAGAAAGAGAAAAATGCAACACAAAAACAGGTTGCCCTACCCTTTTTTTTTTTCTTAAAGATTTTACTTATTTGACAGAGAGAGAGAGCATGGGGCTGGGGTGGGGAGAAGGGGCAGAGGGAAAGGGAGAAGCAGACTCCTCACTGAACGGGAGCCTGACACAGGGCTTGATCCCAGGACCCTGACTGAGATCATGACCTGAGCTGAAGGCAGACACTTAACTGAGACATGCAGGCACTCCAGTTGCCCTCCCCTTTTGAGACCTATATGTAATTGGAAGGTTTCCTACTTTCAGAGTTTTAGGTACATGTGGGCTCCACATGCTGCTGTGATTTTCACCCTTGCAGGATTACATGGAGACTGTGACGTAAGAGAAAGGAGAAAAGAAAAAGAGAACTGGGGGACTTCTACTGTTTCTGAGTGTTAATCGTCCCCTTGCCTTCTCCCCAAGCCAGAAGTGGAGGGCTTTTCTTTGAACTCTTAGTCATGCCTCAGTGCCCACTTCTAAGTTTTAAGTGGCCTTAATCTAGGTTAAGGAACACCAGAGGGAAAACTAGAAATATGCCCCCACTTCATTTCACTTAAAATTCTGGTCTTTCTCGATCAACCTGCTACTATGTATCTTCTTTTTTTTTTTTTTTTAAGATTTTATTTATTTATTTAGACAGAAAGAGACACAGCGAGAGAGGGAACACAAGCAGGGGGAGTGGGAGAGGGAGAAGCAGGCTCCTGGCCGAGCAGGGAGCCCGATGCGGGGCTCGATCCCAGGACCCTGGGATCATGACCTGAGCCAAAGGCAGACGCTTAAGGTCTGAGCCACAAAGGCGCCTCTACTATTTACATTTCCTGAGTCAACAAAAAGCTGTTCCATGCATTCTGTTTATAGCTGCACAGAAAAAAAGACTAGAATTTGCTTTCCTTGTCTTATTGGGAACTGGAATCTTAATTTCAGGCATTAAAATAATCGTAGATGATATGGATATACAGTAAAGGTTGAAAACCTTTACTATAACAAAATGATGGGAGATATAGCTGAAAAGGATAAAGTAAAAGTATTGTATGCTGTCAATGCAAGGCAGAAGGATCTCTATATAATTTGAAGATTGGTAAGAATGCAGGGAAGGTTTCTGATGTTAGAAGCACAATTACACATTAAAATTAATCTGGAGATACATAAAACAGATTACACAGATGCAAACAAAGTAAAAATACAAGGCTACTTCCATGGCAGGCATTAGAAGTCTGAAAAAGAGTAGTGTGAAGAGAAAGGGTGCAGATGGAATGATCCTGTGGAAAAATCTATAGCTCCTTGAGAACTACTTTGATTTAAAAACAAAAATCAATAATGATAAAGTTTAAACCTAGTTGACTGAAAGTATTACATTTTCAGAATCAGGAATGTCAGGCCAAGTAGATTGGCAGGGGAAAATAAGTTTAGTTTTTGACATACTAAGTTAGAATCTCTTGCAAGTGAGATTTATGGAGAGATGCCCAATAGGCAAAAGGAAATACAAATCTTTTTTTTAAGATTTTATTTATGAGAGAGAGAAAGAGAACACGAGTAGGGAGAGGGAGAAGCAGGACCCTGGGATCATGACCTGAGCCAAAAGCAGACATGTAACCGACTGAGCCACCCAGGTGCCCCATGGGAAATACATATCTAAATATAAGAATTCAGGACTAGGGATACAGATTTGGGAATCCCTGTTCAAAGAGTAAAGTTAGAACTATGGAAGGAAAAGATCACTGAAGACTACATTATCACAGCAAGAAATCAGCCAAAACCAAGAACTTTGGAGAAGGAAAATTCTCTGCCTGAAAATAAGACAGAGAAGGAACATTTAGGAAAATGAAAGAGAAGAAACATAGTGGCACAGAGATTTCAAGAGTGTTTCAAGAAGGTAGATGTGAAAATAAATTCTAAATGTTATAAGGTTAGGGAGCACTCAAGCAAACGAATCCCTGATCGTGGTATGTTTCTATATTCTCTCTTATCAATCACATCTTCCTTTCTTTCTATTAGATCATTCCCATCAGCACACCACCATACTCTGGCTTGAGTCCTCTTACAAACAAACAAATAAGCAACCAAACATACATTTTCCCTTATCTTCACACTCTTCTATTACCTATCCATTTTTTTGTTCCCTATCACTGCCAATTTCTTGTGTTATCAACCTAGGTTGTCTTTACTGTCTCATTCACTCTCCATTGCTCAACTATGCTCTAGCTTCCAATGCTACTGCACTACTCAAACTGCCTGTCAAGTCTATGCAGCTAAACCCAATTCTTGTCATACTTGGTTTATTAGCAGCACTGACCATGAAACCTTGGATGGATCACCTAATTTGTGAGGCTATTTCTACTCTGCAAATGCAGGGGAAAAGACCATATTAAATAATCTGCAGGTCTGAATTCAGCTTTAAGGTTTTGTAATAGTAAATTTAACTATAAAATATTTCTTAAAATATGATGATCTGAGACAGCAGCATTTGTTAAAATTTTTTTCCCCACCTTAATTGAGGTATAATTGTCAAAACTGTATAAAGTGCACATGGGATCACTTGATATACATGTTTAGTGTGAAATGACAACCACAATCAAATAACACATCCACCCCCTCACATAGATACCCTTTTCTTGAGGGGGAGGGTAGCTGTCTTGAAAGATTAAATGGGAAAGAAAGGAAGATTAACTTTTCTTTTGCTTATATGCAAGCTGTAGTACCTAGTAGAAAGTTATCTAGTTAGTACCTAGTACCTAGTTAGAAGTTATCTGTATTCTCCCTCCATTCTTTGTATAAATTTCTCTCCACGTGTTTTTGGATATCTTCCATATTAATGATTAGAGGTCACTAAATCAGCTTGTTATTGGAATTTTTAGGTCTTCAACTGTTTTGTGGCCACTCTAGATATTTCAGAGTCAAATATAACTACTTACCAATGAAGTTTCTGTAATTCCTTCTCATTCCATTCTTCATCCTGAATTATACCAGGAAAACATTCAAAGGAATGCCTATTTGTCTCATTAGATCCCTTTGCCTCAATAATTGGAGACTCATTCCTAATACCAGATTTCTGAAGATTTTCTTTAGCAGAACATCTAGCTTTCTTTTGTTTGATATAAAATTCACTTTCACTTTCTTCAGTTTCAGATTCAGAAATCACTGGGATTTTCTTTGCGGTGGTTCTTGTGCTTTTCTTCGGGTAAACCACTGTTTCTTTGGTATTCCTTACTCTGGTTTTCTTAGCAATTTCAGCTTTCTTTCTAATTCCCTCTTCTGTTTCGCTCTCTTCACTAGACAAATCTGATGAGGACTGATGCTCATAAAATGACATAGATGCATTTCTGATTTTCTTCAATTTTGGAAACAACCTTGTATTTTTCTTAAAATCAGAGGTGACCGTTTGTTCCTTTTTAGGACTAGATATTTTGATTTTCTGGTTGACTGTGACTAAATCACATTCACTGCAATCTTCCTTTTTTTTATTTTTATGATCCACACTATACTCAAATGCATTTTGGAAGGTCTTTGTGGGCTTACTGGACAAATGTGCAGTTCCATTTAAGTCTGATTTACTTTCTTTTTGATGCTTTGGCACTGCAAAATCTGTTACTGCTTTAATGGTGCCATAGGACAGATTATACTTCATGCATTTTTGTTCTATCACTTTTTTAGACTTAAGTGGTGTCACTAAAATATAAGCTTCCTTCTGATTAGGAGCCATATGTTTTCTTTCTTCGTCTGAGAAAAACAGTTGTCTTGAGGTTAGAATGTCAACGGATACATTCGATTCTTCAGTTCTCTCTTTAATTTCATAAGACAAAACCAAACATCAAAATCTCAGATTAGCTACAAAGCACAAAATTTTTTTCTAAAATATATTTTTTCCCCCATAAACTCCATTGTACATACTACTGTCATTATTAGTCTTCCTGAAGTACCAGTCTGTTCATATTACTGCCCCTTCAATTGTAAACTTATTTTTTAAATCAACTGGCCCGTGACTTCTTACAGTCTACTTAGTATACAGATAAACTCCTCTGTCTGGCCTTCAATGTAGTTCTAATCTCACTGTACTCAATCTGAACCGTATTCTATGTCTACGAGACCACTATTTCTCCCAATTTTCTTGATTCTCAACTTTCACTAATATCATCTACTTGGAAAGTTTTCTTCACTCACAAACCAAATCACTACTTGCTTTATTTATTTTTAAAGATTTTATTTATTTTACAAAGAGACAGCCAGAGAGGGAACACAAGCAGAGGGAGAGGGAGGGGGAGAAGCAGGTTCCCACAGAGCCGGGAGCCCAATGCGGGGCTCGATCCCAGGACCCTGGGATCATGACCCGAGCCAAAGGCAGATGCTTAACAACTGAGCCACCGAGGCACCCTTCGCTACTTGCTTTAATTCCATTCTCTAATCTGCCTCGTCCACAAACTTTGTCCTGATTCCCTCAACTGAATGAAAGTTCTTGAAATTTCCAGATTACTTTTAAATAATACCATGTTTGACAATGTGCCCTGCATTATAAACACAAACTTGTCTTATCTTTGAACTAGACTGCAAAAAAATCCTAAATAGTAAGAATTTTGTCTTCATTTTTGGATTTTTTTGTTGTTGTTGGAGTTAGTACATAGCCTTTCAAATATGCAATAAATGATAAATAAGTGTTAAATCAACTCTTTAGAGATAAAATATTTAGGTGACATAAAAAACCACTAGGGTTGCTAAAACCTTACTAGGTATGTAATTCCTTACATGAAATGCAAGCTATCCTAGTTAGGGGAACAAGGAACTCTATTGTGTGGCCCCATTATCATCCCTAATGGTGGCAATGGAAATACAGTTTTGCTGAGTTGCCCAAACTCCATGAAGCATCATGGGATAACAATCAAACCAGAACTTGGGAATCTTTATTATATTGTGTCACTAGTTAAAGAAAGAATATTAAAATGAGAGAAATTCTCCAATTTGCAACTTAAGAAACCAGAAGCCAAACTAACTGAACTTCTAATTATAAATTATCCAATTGCAATTATAATATATAAAAATTATAAATCATCACACCAATTGTCATAGTGAAATACTGCAACAACCGACACATTATGTACCATTTTACAAGAATGATAAAATGAAAGCCTGATGAGTAAAGTTGGATGCTGGAGAGAAAAGAAGCCACTAAATTATAATTCATGGAGAAGTGGTACTAATCAAAAGTAATCAAGAAAGTTTCTACAAGATTTCTCAAGGGAATCATCTATCTTCCTGAGGGAAGTGTTTTCTTTTAATTCCTCACATAAATCTGATTCAAATGTTCAATTGGCAATTTGAAAATTTTGAACTTTCTAATTTTAAACAAAATACTTTTATTCTGAATATTTTTATTCATTTTATTAAATAATCTGAATAAAGATTCATCCTATCTGGATACTTTAACCTAAATTGCATGATCCTGATAGTCTAAATAGTATTGTTTTTCCTCTCTACTTCTTTAAACACTTAGTAAATGTTCTTCACTTTCACTTCCTTTCACTTAAAAGAAACAAACTGAGGGTTGTTGGAATGGTCGGGGTGGGAGGGATGGGGTAGCTGGGTGATAGACACTGGGGAGAGTATGTGCTATGGTGAGTGCTGTGAATTGCGTAAGACTGTTGAGTCACAGACCTGTACCTCTGAAACAAATAATACATTATATGTTAAAAAAAGAAGACGACGATAGCAGGAAGGGAAAAATGAAGTGGGTGAAATCAGACGGGGAGACAAACCATGAGACTATGGACTCTGAGAAACAAATTGAGGGTTTCAGAGGGGAGGGGGTTGGGGGGATGGGTTAGCCTGGTGATGGGTATTAAAGAGGGCACGTTCTGCATGGAGCACTGGGTGTTATACGCAAACAATGAATTATGGAACACTACATCAAAAACTAATGATGTAATGTACGGTGATTAACATAACATAATAAAAAAAGAAATAAAATAAAAATGCTACTAAGCTGATGGATTTAACTCAATATGAAATTTTAAACTTGCTAATGTATAGAGACAAGGCTCTTTAAATTCTGGTATGCAGATTTCAATGAAATCGTACTGAAAATCGACACACATAGCTAAATGATGGCATTAATTTCATTAAAAGATTCATAGTCTTTAAACATTTCTTTACAATGTAAATCAATAAAGATATATCACCTTAAACATTCCAAAAAGCATATTTAAAATAATGTATAGTTTTGTTATTAAAAAATTAGGGGTGCCTGGCTGGCTCAGTTGGTACAGCATGTGACTCTTGATGTCGGGGTTGTCAGTTTGAGCCCCATGTTGGGTGTATAGTTTACTTAAGAGAAAAAAAGTTTAAAAAATAAATAAAAATTATTTAGTATCTAGATTAAGGGAGGCAAACCTGCAAGTAAATATGGTATGTAAGGTAATAGATTATTTTATTATGCAAATTATGTTATATAGAAAAACAAAACCCTATTGTACACCTGAAACTAATAACACTGTATATGCTTCAATTAAAGAAAAAAAAGGTATTCTAAAAAAAACCCATAAAAAAAAACAACAAAAACCACCCCCAACATTTATAAACATTGAAATACCTGGTTTACCATTTTAGATTTGGAAATTTATGAGACCACTTATTATATATTTGATATAATTTTATTATATGTTTAATATAATATTATGTACTATTATTATATTAAAAACATTTCAAGTAAGAGCTGTCTGCTTAATATAAAACCTATAAAGATATATTACCTTGCTTCTGACTTTTAATTATCGTTTCATTTGTTCTTTCACAATTTCCAAGTTTCTTTGAAGACAAGTTTTCACATTCTTTCTTTCCAATTAATTCCTTCAAAACAAAAAGACAGCTTTTTATTTTATTTTTTTTAAAGATTTTTTTATTTATTCATTCGAGACACAGAGATAGAGAGAGAGAGATTGAGAGCATGAGCAGGGGGAGAAGCAGACTCCCCATGGAGCAGGGAGCCTGATGCGGGGCTCGATCCCAGGATCCTGGGATCATGACCTGAGCCGAAGGCAGACGCTTAACTATCTGAGCCACCCAGGCGCCCCAGCTTTTTATTTTAATAAACCTATAAACATGACCTCAAGTATTTTCACAGTATGTATCAAGCATATAAATATCTAGGTACTTTTAGTTCTACAAATTTCATTAATGGAGGCATTCAGAAACTCATTTCCAAAAGCTTAAGCTTTTGGAAGCACCATGTGGATAACCAGTATGTTAGATAGTTCCTTTATTGATTTAATACCTGTGATATGTCAAGTGTGCACATGCGTGCACACACACAAACACATTTTATTTAAGCCTTACTCTAAGAGCTGAACTTTCTGTTATTATTGACTGAACTTTTCCAATGAGACACGGAGAAAATAAATATCAAGAGATTGTCAAGATGAACAAAAGGCTGATATTTAACAGAATTCATGATTTCTAGTTTGGTCCCGAACCTTTTTAGTAGCATCACACCACCACTCTACATTATCACAGTGTACAGTAAAAGCTTACCTGATTAGATAAGTCATTTCCTCCTCCATTTTGAAAAGTATTATTTACTTGGTCATCTGGGAGACTTAACGGTGGTTTATTTTGGCAATTACCATGGCACACGTTTAATTCTGTGGCTCCTGGCAACCTACCGCGCTTAGCATTTTTCACTTCTATGTGTACAAAGATGGAGATATCAATAAATTATTATATAGAAGATAAGCTGCCTTTCCACATTAAAGAATTCACTTTCAAAAACTATTATCTAGAAAGAGTAGTAAGTTAGTGTTCATACTTTTTTCCAGCAGGGGGTAGGGTGGGATGTGAGGCAGATTATAGTTTTGGCAAAGAGTTGACACAACAGTTCTGCCAGCTACCTTTATAGCAATGGTCATTCAAAAAAACATGCCATTCCCTCCATGAAAGCAAACTGGTTTTGTCTAGTAACAAAAATGTAATTTAGTATAAAAATTTAAGCATCTGTAATATAGGTCTAAGGTAGGTTGTTAGCCTAAATACTTAAGTCTAGGAAACAGAACAATCATCTTTCATTGACATGTTCATTAGTGTTCTTGATTGTGATGAACTAAAATGTAATATTTAAAGAAGTAAGCAGAATGCTCACTATGAGCAGACTGCACTGTAGTTTTTCAAGTATAAAAAATAAGAATTTTAGGGCAGTGTAAGTCAAAAACTCATTATGATATAAACAGATAAATGTGGAGCTCATGTAAGAATTTACCACCATACCAGGAGAAGAAAAAAGAGCAAACATACCCAAATGACAACAATCAACGTCGTAAGTAGTGCTGGCTCTTTGGAGGACATCTGTTTGGTTTTCTCTTGCATTATTTTTTGATGATTTTCGTATATCAGGGACAAATCTTCCAGTTTTCTGTTTTTGTCTGGCCTTTCCCTCTTTCTTTTCACAAGCCCTAAAAACAAGTATAGTATTTTTCCTCTAATATTTGTTCTCAAAAAACAAAAACAAAATATACAAATAAAGTCCCTCAGATAAAGCTTCCCCCCACCCAGCAAAGATTACCTTTAATCTTACATTATTTAAGCCTTTATGACTTCTACCTCTTCCCCCACAAAGAACTGAAGGACAACAGCTAAATCAAAAGAATCAAATAAAACCTTGTAAGTGTTTACTACTCTATGCTCTTTTATTTTCTACTTAGGCTAATACTGTAAGAAAATTACAGGACAAATGTTGCCAGTTGCCTATTTTTGGAAATAAATTTTACTGAAACACCGCCACATTCATTCATTTAAGTACTGTCTATGGTTGCTCTTCCGTTACAAAGGCAGAGTTGAATAGCTGATAGAGGCAGTATGCCCATAAAAACACTTCCTATCTGGCTCTTTACAGGACCACCCCCTCCCCGCATTACAAGTTATACAATTATACTGTGATTAATTAACTTATATCACTGTATCCTCTATGAGTTCCTTTAATGGCAAGAATTAATCAAATTTTCTTTGCTTTCCCTGTGCCAGCACAGGGTCTGCTAAGCAACTGACAATAACTACTGAAGGAATGAATGAAAGAAAAAAGGACCAAGAACTCTACACTCATGTTTAACAGCAACATGCCTCTTAAAGGGTGGTTGAATGAGGATGCTCCCTGAAATGTCAACAGTGTTTTTTCTTTTAGATTTATTCCATATGACAGAAATTCTAGTAAAGTATTACTGCTTTCTAAAAATCCAAAATCAGAGAGAACTTCAAAACTAGCATTCCCTGCCCCCCAAAAGAAATTAAAACCAATTTACATTGGTTATATGAACAGATATATTTGTAAAAGCCCCTCAAATTATATACCTAAAATGGGTGCATTTTATCAAATGTAAATTATACCTTAATAAAGTTACTTTTTTAAAAGTTAAGAAGTACTTTACCTTAATTGTTCTAGAAAATTATCAATATGCTCTTTCCATTTTTCTGGAAAGCCAAACATAAACTTCCTTATGAGATAGTTTGGATATCCTATTTAACAATAAACAAACAAAAATTATCTAAAAGCCAAGAATTTTAAAGACATGTCATTGGTTCATCATTGAAAAAATATATACTTATTGCTCACTTTGTGCCAAGCACTGCCACAGACATTAAGGATTCAGCAGTTAACAAAACAAAAATTCCTGCCTTCATGGAATTTGCCTTTTAGTGTGAAAGAGAAAGCAAACCAATAAATAAACATCTTGTTTGTCAGATGGTCGTCAATGCTATGGAGAAAAATTATGTAGTCAATGGGCAAAGGGATACTAGTGTTTTTATGCTGGGGAAGGAAGAGGGGTGCAGGCAGCATTTTTAAAAAGGAGAGTCAGAGAGGTTCACTGAAATAGCATTATTTGAGTAAAGCTTTGAAGGACATGAGGGAGAGAGCCATGTGGCAATAAGGGATTAAAACACTAGAAGCAGAGGGAACGAAATAAAAGGCTATGAGGTAAGAGTGTGCCTGGCCTGATGTAAAAATTAGTATAGTTGGAGTGGAGTGAAAGAAGCTAGTACTAGGAAACTACTCAGAAGGGAATAGAGGCAGTAGGGGAACAAAGAAGATGGTAAGGCTTTGGGGTCATTTTATGGACCCAGTCTTTTACTTTGAGTGAGATGGGAAGCTATAGAAAGACCTTCAGTGAGGGAGCCACAGGATTTGACTTACTTTAACGGGACTGTATTAGCTGCTATTTCGAGAAGTCTATGGAAATACAAGTGAAGAAATAATGAGACCAGTTAGGATTCTGCAATGGTTCAGACGAAAGACAAGGGAGGTCTGGACCGGAGAGGTCAGCAGAGGCCTGGCTTCCCGATAAATTATGGAGATAATGCCAATAGGATGTACTGACCCACTAAGTGTGGGTGTGAGAGAGACTGAAGATTCAAGATGCCTCCAAGGATTCTGGCTAGCCACTGGAAATAAGGAAAGACGGGGGATCTACCTAAGCAGATTTCAGGGAGAAGACCAGGTTTTAGACATATCAAATTTGAGATGCCTGCAGACATCCTAGTGGAGATGTCAAATGGGCAGATGGAAAATGAATTGAGTGGCTTGGGGAGTTTTTTTGGTGAGAGATAGAAATTTGGCATTTGTCACCATACAGATGAAAGTTAAAGCCTAAAAGAAATCAGCACATCACTGAGTGTATACAAAGAGCCACAGTCTACCCCATTACTTAGAGGCAAAGAGGAAAGAGCAAAATAAGCAAATAAACTAAGAAGGAATAGAGAGTAAGACAGCATGAAAATCTGAATACAGTGTTCCAGAAGGCAAATAAAGAAGTATTTCAAGGAGGTAAGTAGGACTAACTGTGATAAGCATATACTAGATTTAGCAATGTGGGGGCCCCTGGTAACTCTGATAAGGACTGTTTGGTAAAGAATTGCAGTTTAAGTCATGATTAAAGAGAATTTTTTAAAAATGGGAAAGAATTCAAGGAATCAGAATCTTCTGAGCAGTTTTTGCTGTAAACAGTAGCTGAAATAAGTGGGGTTAAAAGGGTTTAAAACTGTTTTGACAGGATAAGGGAGAATACTGGAGTGATATCCTTGAGTGAAAGAGGGAAAATGGAAAGAAGGGTACAAATGGATAGGCTGACACAGACAGGAACATGGACAGTTCAGAACAAAAGTAGATGCAGACGCAAGCAGCTCAGTAGATGTGATGGTGAAGTTCTCTTCTGAGTGTTTCTATTGCTCAAGCGCTCCCCTCCCTCCCCCAGCACCTCTCCTGTGAGAGGAAAAAAGGAGGTATTGAAAATTTGTAAAAATGCGCAATAGCCATCAAGGAGGATGGGAGAGTGAATGCAATAGGGAAATGCGGTAGGATGCCAAGTGGCACCAAGAGACAACAACTTGTTGCTGGTAATCACAAACTTAAAGTAAAATAATCATGTGTGTTCTTCTTCAGCCACATTACTGTGCACAAGGCATAGGCAGAAAATTAGATTATAACAGGACTGGGGTTGTGCTGGGCAGGTTCAACAAACTAGAGAGTTAAATTATAGCCTTATAAAACAATTCCTCACAAAACATTTCACTTGTATTTTTAAAAATCACTGGACTTATTTAAACTGTCAATAAGGGTGATTAAATCAGAGAAGAATAGTCAACACATAATAGTTTTACACAATGTGGTCAATTCTGTTTTAATTTTTTTTGAGTCATAATTTTAAAACACCTAATTAAGAATAAAAAATAGATATCACTTAGAAATACGATTAATTGCTTCATTTAAAGTAATTTATAATAATGACAGTCATTACCTGCTTCCTTCATGGAAATCCGGTCTATCATCCCTTTTAAAATATAAATATTTCCTGATAAAGTCCTAAGTCTGTTGTGCTTAATCCGTTCTATAATGACATTACTGTGCCAATATATGTTAGGGATGTCTCTAGGAGAAAATTAAAGGCCAAAGTATTCACATTTTACCAGTAATCACAATGTACATATATAAGTTTACAAACTTTTAATAATAGAAAGTAATAAATTCGCACTCCAGCTACATTAGCAGTATTATTCATTTAAATACAAAACATCTGAGGGCCAAATATTGTAGCAGAACTCAACTGCCTAGCTAATGTGATCCTCAGAGTATGTACCAAGAAACTGTACTGTGGCCAAACCAAATCACTAATAAAAAATTTATCATTAGCAAGGAAGCAGGGGCCTTCTCTAAATAACTGGCGCAGACAATGCTTGCAACTTCATCTTAACTGATGCCAAGTTTCTAAAGAATGTCCTCCTGTCCCCTCCTCAGGGCCTATACTATGTTAGCTTTCATGCAGTTAAATACTTTGGATTCCTCTAATCCTGCAGGGTTTTGTTTTTTTTTTACCCTCACTACCCATCCAAGTATTTTTACCTTCCTCTTTGAAAAGTACCAAAAAGAGGTTCCAACCGGGAAAAAAACAAACTGCAAGATCAAATCACTAACCCATAAATCTACTCTTCATAGTTCCTTAAATGAAGCTAGGAATATGAAATAGAAAGAACAAAATATAAAGATGTATTAGATAAACACTGAACATTCCCAATTCATCAGATAACTAGTAATAATCACACTAATTACAAGTGTAATATGACAGTTAAGTTTCTTTCATTTAGTCAAATGGGATTAAACTCATACATATTTTAATATAGTGATCTTGTGCTTTTTTGTTTTATTTTACTTAATTAACATTTAAATAACCTCTGAAACAAATAATACATTGTATGTTAAAAAAAGAAGAAGAAGAAGATAGCAGGAAGGGAAGAATGAAGGGGGGGAAATCGGAGGGGGAGATGAACCATGAGAGACGATGGACTCTGAAAAACAAACTGAGGGTTCTGGGGGGGGTGGGGGGATGGGTTAGCCTGGTGATGGGTATTAAAGAGGGCACGTTCTGCATGGAGCACTAGGTGTTATACGCAAACAACGAATCATGGAACACTACATCAAAAACTAATGACGTAATGTATGGTGATTAACATAACATAAAAAAAAAGTACCCCCCCAAAAATAAAAAAATAAATAGGCAAGATAAAGAAATTTTTAAAATATAAATAAATAAATAAATAGCACTCCAAAAGCACTGTTCTCAAGTCTTACAAATATTAACTTTAATATTCAAAATAACCCAAAGAATAGGTAATATTACCATTGTGCAGAAACTGAGACTGAAAAAGGATAATAACTTGCCCATGTTATATAGCTAGTAAGGCAACAGCAGTGGGATTCCAACAAAGGCAACACAGACCACCTCTTTGATATTAAGGAAATTGGCCCAAGACAAGCAGAAATAGAATGGGCAAGACAGATTTTAAATAAACAACTTATAAACTTCTAGGGAGCACCCTGAACAGTGATATATTATCTTATTACAACCTTTTATTACAGTTTTTTTTAACCACTAAGAAATTGGTTTTGAAAAAGAGACGATGTTGCTAATAGAGTAGCAAAATTAGGCAAAGCCCACTTACCTGATGATGCTTTTGCTTTAGTAAGAACCAGAGAGTGCCAATGATTACTTAATATGTAGCTGTATGGCAAAGTTTTAAATAATTCTGATTCCTTTTCTGGATCAGTAATTTAGATCTGGTTGTCCCAATTTAGATGTGAGAATCTGGACTGAAATGCATGTAGTAAATATTTACTACCCATATATAATTAAGCAGAGAACACCAGTCCACTTATTAGAACCTCTGAAAAAAATAAAGCACTGTGTATACAAATTTGAGTTGTTACTATTCTAAAGGGAACTTAACAGGTGAAAACAAGAAATCTGGTTACAATCAACTTGGCCAGCTTCTGCACAGTCCTTTTACTTTTCTGGCTTTAGTTTGTAACCTCGTTACAAAGTCTTTGTTTTATAGGAAGATGCATCTCCTTTTAGCTCTTATACACTTATAAATTTTATTAGAATAAGGAAATGTTATACTTACGTCAATTTTCCTTCTACACATATAGCAGTATTATTATTAATGATTTTAATCATCCATTCCTGTAGCTGGACCACCTAATCAACATAAAATGAAGTATATATTTCCTATGTTACTTGTAGCAAAAACATTACAAAATCAATTTACATCAAATTAAAAGAAAAAAACTCATATACTTAGTGCTCATCTATATAAGAATCACATTCTATTTTAAATAGTAATAAGGTAAAAACTCTTGTATACAATAAAACAGAAAAGAGGGAGACTGAATGGAGGCTGTACTGCATAATTTTTTCTCCAATCCAGAATCAGTTCTACATCAAATATTCTTAATATCGAATATCTCAACCACTGGAGAAAAAAAAAAAATCCCCGAAAATTCTAAGGTATCCATTAAAGACAAAAGACCTAACTTAGATAAAAGAGTCAGTTGTGAAGTATACACTTCACCATCATTCTTATCCCTAAAAAATATAGCATTTTTCTTTTTTTTTGCAAAGTTGATTTGGAGTTGCATTTAATTTTCTTTAACTACAAAGGTGATTGCTAATAATCTGTATTTAACAGCATTCTATTCCAGAGCAAATATCTAAACAGCTTAGAGAATTATTTTAGGACAAAATCTTATTGTAGAGGAAAATTTCTGTGAATGTCTGTGTTGAGAAATTGCTTCTACTGAGTAACAACTTAACACTGAATTATTTCTGATGAGAAATTCAGCAAAAGTCAAAAATAACTAATTTGAGTAGCCATTTACTTTACATACAAAAAATTATAAATTTGTAGGGCGCTTGGGTGGCTCAGCTGGTTAAGCGACTGCCTTCGGCTCAGGTCATGATCCTGGAGTCCCGGGATCGAGTCCCGCATCGGGCTCCCTGCTCGGCAGGGAGTCTGCTTCTCCCTCTGACCCTCCCGCCTCTCATGCTCTCTGTCTCTCATTCTCTCTCTCTCAAATAAATAAATAAAATCTTTAAAAAAAAATTATAAATTTGTAAAGACAAATTCTTCAGTGGTAGTTTTATGCTGAGCCAGAAAAAGACGCTAAAATGGAAGGTGCTCCTAGTTATTGCACTTCTCCTCAATTATGTTTATTTTTTATTTTATATTTTTCCTCAATTACAAATAGGCAATGAAATTCCTTTTTTATTTTTAATACTTCCACACTTGGAATTATCTAAGATAGATCATGTGTTCGAACAGTCAGATGGAGAGGACATTAAAAATAAAAAATGTTCCAAGCATCTTAGATTCAATGACTCATGTTATCCTCATAACACTAGGAGGCAGGTAATACTTTATTCATTTTGTAAATAAAGAAAGTGTAAAGTCAAGTTAAGTAATTTGCCCAAGTCACACACAGCTAGTTAGGGGCACAGATTGGTTACAAATCTGGGAATCCTGGCTCCAGAATCTTGTACCATCCTGCTTACATAAAATATCAAAATGTTCATTCATATTCATTCAGCAAAATATTTCTGACCTCTACTATATGCCAGGCACTGTTTTAGGCAGTGGGATTTGGTAAGAAACAAAATGGCTGCCCTGTTAGAGCAAACATTCATGTGTGTGTATGCTAACGTGCACTCACGGGAGCTGGGGGGTGGATGTGTAGAAGCAAGTGGGGTGGTGGTGGTTATATCCAAACAAATGGACAAATAATGTCTGGCAGTGATTATTATCAAAAATAAGTATAAGACATGCTTACTTAGATATGATAAGGAAAGTCTTGGAACAGAGAAGTGAATAAAGTGAAGGATAAGACATATGGGTTACCTGGGAATAGGTTCTTCCAGGCAAAGGGAACAGGTACAAGTCCCCAAGTAGATAGCATAGAGGCCACAGTAGCTCGAAAGGAATAAGCAAGAGAGCAAGAGAGGGGAGTAAGAGATGAGGTTAGGCATGTCAAGGACTGAATTATGTGGGAGTCCTGTAAACTATAGTAAAGGCTTAGGGTTTTCTCTTGAGATAAAAAGTTACTAGAGGATGGGCGCCTGGGTGGCTCAGTTGGTTAAGTGACTGCCTTCAGCTCAGGTCATGATCCTGGAGTCCCTAGATCGAGTCCTGCAATGGGCTCCCTGCTCAGCAGGGAGTCTGCTTCTCCCTCTGACCCTCCCCCCCCTCATGTGCTCTCTCTCTCATTCTCTCTCTCAAATAAATAAATACTTAAAAAAAAAAAAGTTACTAGAGGATTTTGAGCAGAGTAGTGACATGATTTAATATTTTAAGGGGTTACTCGGGAGAAATTGGACTATATAAAGATTCTGGCAGAGCACCTGGGAGGCTCAGTTGGCTAAATATCAGACTCTTCATTTCAGCTCAGGTCATGATCTCAGGGTCATGGGATCGAGCCCTGTGTAGGGCCATGCGCTCAGCGAGGAGTCTGCTTAAAGCTTCTCTCTTCCTCTCCCCCTTCCCCTGCTCGTGTACACTCTTTTCCTCTAGGGTAAACAAATAGACTCTTAAAAAAAAAAAAAAAAAAGATGATGATGATGATGATTCTGGCTTCTGTCTGAAAAACATTAGGAAGGAGAGAGAGGCAACAGGGGGAGCAAGGAGACCATTAGGCTATTGTAGTAATCCAAGAGATTATGGTGTCCTGGACCAAGAGGTAGTGGCTGAATAGTGAGAAGTGGCCAGATTCAGGACAGGAGAGCCAACAGGATTTCCTCACAGTTTGGATGTGGAGTATGATAGAAAAACAAGAGTCTCAAATGAATCTAAATTTTTTAACCTAAGTATTTGGGGGAGTGGTATTACTATGTACCAATATGGGACACAATAGAGAGCAGTTTTGGGGGAAGAAATCAAGAGTTTAGTTTTGGACATACTAAATCTGAGATGCCTATTAGATATCAATGGAGAAGCCCTATAGACAATTGAATATGTGAGTGTGGGGTTTAGGAGAATGTTCTGGACTGGAGATATATATTTGGGAACTACCTGTAGAGAAATGGAATTTAAAGCTACAGCACTGGATAATACAGTCTTGACAGGAAGCAGCAAAGGGGAATGAGAAGAATGGCCAGTGAGATAGTAGAAAATCAAGAGTAAGATATCATGGATTTCAAAATAAAAAGCAATATAATGTTTTAAGAAGGATGTTTTGATTCACTGTGTTAAACCCTTGTGAGCAACAGAATAATAAGAAATAATAATTATTGAGTTTGGTGATATGGAAATCACTGGTGAACCTGCAAAGGGCAATCTTCATGGAGTGATTTCTGAATGTCCAAAGTAGAACATATTTAAGAGGGAATAAGAAGAAGCAAAAACTGTGAATACATATACCTCTTTCAAGGTGTTTCACAGTAAATGGAAACAAACAAAAAAATGGGGTGATAGATGGAATAGGATAGGGAGTAATAGGAAGGTGAACTTTTTCTTTGCACTTTTTTTAAATGCAGGCCACGTTTCAGCACAAATAAATGTTAACGGGAATTTTCCAGAAGAGAGGAAACACCTGAGGGTATAATTAGAGAGACAAAGTTCTTTAGGTGGTAAGAGGAAATGAATTGGCCTTGAAAAGGGAGCACAGATTGTTCATCCATTACAAGAGAAGGGGAAGCAGAATATGTGGAGAGAGCAGCAAGTAGATTGGTGGATTTGGTAATGGGAATATGAAGTTCAATAAATTGAGAATGAGGCAGAGAGAGGAGATTTGGAAGTTTTAAGAGAAAAAGCATGAAATATTATTCTAGGCAAGTCAAGTGGATTAACAAGTGAAGTGTAGCAGGACTGATGTTCAGTACTGAGAGCCCACTTAAGGTTTGCTCTCAAATTTAAAATGAGACCAGTGTGGTTGTGCATTTTGTTCCAGCCACCTGTTGCCTTTTTTTCTTTTTTTTTTTAAGATTTATTTATTTTAGAGAAAGAGGGGGGAGAGGCAGAGGGAGAGTCTTAGGCAGAATCTGTGCTGAGCACAGAGCCCAACATGGGGCTCAATTTCACAAACCTGAGATCACGACCTGAGCTGAAACAGAGTTGGATGCTCAGCCAACTGGACCACCCAGATACCCCTGCCTGTTGCTTCTTAGGTATATGAGTGAAATTTAACTAGGATCACAACTTGGTCAAAAGAGCACAGAGGGAGGGGCGCCTGGGTGGCTCAGTTGGTTAACCGACTGCCTTCGGCTCAGGTCTTGATCCCGGAGTCCCAGGATCGAGTCCCGCACTGGGTCCCCAGCTCAGCAGGGAGTCTGCTTCTCCCTCTGACCCTCTCCCCTCTCATGTTCTCTCTCTCTCTCAAATAAATAAAATCTTTAAAAAAAAAAGAGAGAGAGATAACAGAGGGAAAAGCAAGAGACCCGAGAGTTAAATCAAGGGAATGTTACAATGATGGGATCATGGAATCTATAAGGTAAAGAGGGAAATGAGGACAGGAGAGCATTGATGGACTAAAGGGTGCCTTAGTAAGGTGGAGTATTGATGTTAGGGGTAGAATGATCTGGAAAGGCAGGAGTTGGAGAGCAGGATGCTTGAAAGTGAGAATCTGGGTGCATACTGGCAAAGACAAGGTACGAGTATGACTAGGGTAGAGGGTAATGGTAAGGGAAAGGTCATTTAAGATCAAGAATTCAAGGAGGCTGGATGGATCATCTATATGGATGTTAGTGTCACCAGAGTTGATGACAGAAATAGTAGCATTAGAAAAAGTAACAGGTGTTAAACGCTTTAATAGTAATGCAAGGTCTTGACTAGCAGGTTATGTATTATATAGGACTACAAGAAGGAACAGGGAGTAATAAAGTCTTATAGCACTTATTTCAAAGAAGCTGAGGAGAGGGGGAGGGATTGTATTAAAGAGAAGGAAAATGGCCTGAAATAATAATGAGAAACAAAAGAGATACATTATATCCTCGTTAGGTCCAACATTGTGGGATATGGGAGAAAAAAGAGCCACCATTTAAGAAAAGAAGCCATATTTTGGTTAGAGCAAGGTTAAGAAATGTTCACAGAAAATTGAGAATTTAACATTTTGCTGATGATACATCTTGAGTTCAAGAGGGTACAATGCAATGTTTGGAGATGAGAGACAGACTGGGTCAGAACTAGGGGATATACAGAACTGTATATAGATAAGAGTCTTGGGAGGCTTAATCTTCTTGTAGTAAGTAAGATAAACAGCACTGTAGCAATGACAGAATTAGTACTGTGGGATCTCCCATTATAGTTGTCTTCAAACTTTTTTGCTCAACTCACCTCACACATTTTTAAAGCAACATCTAAAAATTTTCATTAAGTCTAAATATTTGCAAATAATGCAATTTCCAAAGAATACATTGAGATATAAAACTGTAACTGTTGTGGGATGCCCGGGTGGCTCATTTGGTTGAGCGTCCGACTCTTGATTTCGCTTAGGTCATGATCTAGGGGTCTTGGGATTGAGCCCCACATGGGGCTCCACACTCAGCAATGAGTCGGCTTGAGGATTCTCTCCTTCTCTGTCTGCAAACCACCCCCGCCCCTCATGCACTCTCTCTCTCTAAAATAAAAATAAATCTTAAAAAAAAAAAAAAAACCCAAAACTATAACTGTTACATCACACTTCCAACATGGGGCTTGAACTTACAACCCTAAGATCAAGAGTTGCATGCTTTACTGAACCAGCCAGGCACCCCTCAAATTTAGATGGAATTTAAATACCACTATCATCCTTTTAAAAATTTATGGACAAACCTTTAACAATTGGAAAATTTACATTCTATCTTTGTCCTTAAACTTGTATTCCATTCCACTTCAGAGAATTTATCCTAATGTAACATAGTGTGATAGCCTAAAGTGTTTTATTGATCACTCTGTATTATTTTACAATAGGAAAAATTCTCAAGTCTTCAGAAGCTATAATCCCTTTCTCTTTTAATTGCTGTTAATCGTACTCCAAGAATCAGAAAAAAAAAAAAAAATTAAGAACAGAAATGAACTCAGTGTTCATCCCCAAAGAGAGTAAGTAAATTGTTGAAGATTATACAACTAGTAATAGAGCAAGGTTAAGACTTAACACTTGGATTCTCTTACTTTCAACCCAATGCTCTCTTCAACTAGGCCACAATGCCTCTACACTAAACAATAAAACAAAAAAATGAAGCTACTGTTAATGACAGCTTAAGAGCTCAGTTCTTGAAGAACGAGAGGGTAAAAACATAAATGTAAATCTGCCTTAAGTTGTCCTACCTTATTATTTTTAACTCCATTTGTAAGAGTTTGAAGTGTATTTGGAGGAGAATGATTTGAAGCATTTCTTTTTGATTTCCGAGGTATTGTTATATGAAATCTTGGAGTTGCAAGCACAATTTTACATGTATCATTCATGGAACCCAGAAGATCAGTCTCTCTGGGCATTGTGTTCTCATTAATTTCCTGTTGTGAAGTCCTTTCTGTTGTCATCTTATTATCAGAAACCATTGACTGACCATTTTTAACAGGAACACAGTTAGTATTGAGAGTGTCAACAGTAGTATTTTGGGATTTTTCAATAACAGAATCAATGCCTTCTAAAACAAAGGTGTCCTTTTTAGACTTCGTGGTTACAAATGTATTCTCCCTTGAGTGAAGAATTTGTTTAGCCAACTGAGCTCTAGGTAATGCCTTGCTGGAGAATCCTGCAGCTGAAACATTTTCATGTTCTTGGTTCAGAAATGGAGCCTCTGCAAAAAATACAAGACCAAACATTTATAGAAGAATTTATAGAAGAATCATATGAAATTAAAAGAGAGAAACAGAATAATATCAAACTGTTTATATTAAAAAGAAGTGTTCAGGTTAGGAATGCTCCACCCTTCTGCTCAGTCTTTCTCTGAAAGGGATGCCTACATAGGGAGAATAATTATCTAGAACATTCAACTATACATTCAACAAAACAAAAAGCACTTTACCGTAAGTTAAATTATGCAGAGATGCTTTCTTTTCCTGCTGACATTGAATCTTTTGCTTTTTCAGAAGGAAAGTACTATTTGATGATTCTAGAGGAAATTCTTGCACTGAGGTTGAGTTTTGTTGTTTTTTTTTTAAAGAGGAAATTGAATTGTATTAGTCACTGAGAAGAAAAAAATGTCTTTTACTTATATTCAATAATGATCAGATCAATACAGTATACTTCTGTAAGATATGAGTTACATTTCCCTTTTTATCTTCTCGTGCTTTCATCACATTCTCTGTATCTACAGTATGCTGAGAAAGAATTTTTAAAAAACTCTACATGTTATAACTTGCCAGCTCTAGATAAAAGTTTATTACTGGACTCAGAAGCTTAGTGATCTGGAATAAAATTCTGGTGCTGCCACAAATCAGAGAGGTATATCTTAAGATTATATATGAAGTGCCATCCAGTCTTGAAAATTCTGCTTCTGCTTCTGGTTGCTGTAAATTTCTAAAACACGAAAGAACAGTTGAAGAGGTGTAGCTTGTATGTTAAAAGTTGCAATGTTGTGACTCAATAGCAGACACAACCATAATTTATATGCCTTTGACATCTCTTTAGTAGACCTTTAAAGACAAAAATCTGGTAGGCTTATCTACTAGACAAGTAGGGACTAATAGTACTGCTTACATTTTATTCTACTTTATATCCTAGATTGTTAAAGTTTTATTTCTTGAAGGTAGAAATGTTTCTTTCACACAAAAAGGGGAAGGTAACAGACTTAAAATTGGAAGAAAAACTGAATTACTTTATATGTTTAATTTCAAATATTCTGACAAAAATTGATAGTGATTATGCTTTAGTAAATATGCAGCTTTAGCTTTAGAAATCTTAATATAAAGATTTTATTATAATGATGTGTATCATAAAAGAAGAGTAAGATTCTATTTAACTAATTCTACTAGAAATGGCATGGCAATGCAGTAAAGACAAGTAGGTAATTCAATCAGCTATAACATACTATAGAATCTAGGTCATTTATCTTAGAGTACAAAGTCCATGCAGATTCTCCAAAAGGTCTCTGAAATTACATACAAAATTTGTGCATTTTCGGGGAAAAGAGTCATCGGATTCTCAAAGCAGTGAGTTATTTCTTCCTCTCTAATTCCACTTGACAATTAAGACATGCTTTAATGTGCATTATTTGCTTCTCCCTTTTCTCCCAGACTGTATGAAACATAGATTTTGTGTAGTCCCTTACCTCCATCCCAAACTCCCCTAGAAACTCTTTTTGTAGCAAAATATATCACTGTCTTTGAAATACAACAATATATCCACAGTCTATTGTGTAGTAAAGTGCATGGGCTTTCAAATAAGTACCTGTATTAATTCTCAGCACATCACCTACTACCTGTGAGATGTGGAGCAGACATAACCTCTTTGTAAGCCCCATTTCCTAGACTATTAAATGAGCATCTACCCATAGTGTCTGCTGAAAGGATTAGGAGATAGTGCACGTAAAATATATTTATCAATTACTGCAACTCATTAAAATCTTTATTTCAAATGTCCCAAATTCTGATCATTCTACCTTTCCAGATCATTCTCTCAAATCCAATGACTATCCTACCACCTAACACTTCTTCACACTTCCTCATCTCCCTCAGGTCCTCTTTTCTCTGTATAACTAACTTAATTTTCATGGTCCCCTTATACACACACCTCAACTCCTTTGTCCTCTTCATCCTAGTTGATAAAATTACAATCTTGATAAAATCCAACTCCCTGCCTATTCCCCAGCAGCACCTATGCAGGGCTAAAGGAAAACTCAAAACCACATTGACTGCTCTCATTTAAGTTCATGCTCACAAGTCTCAAGTAGGTCCTTAATGTTGCACAAGAAATCAAATTTAGGCATAGACCATTTACTCTTCCACTCTCCTGTATTATTTAAACCCCCACCTCCTCAAACTTTAATACCAGTTTCTCATGCTCAGTTTCAGCTGATGGCTTTATTGTCCACTTCAGATTATTCCTTAAGTCATATAACACTGCCTATCTTCTTGTTTGATTTATGATCTGTTTATGTTCCTAGCTAAGGCCAAAACTTCCACTTTTAGATTCTGTTCCCTCTCAACTACTCAAGGGTATCATACTACCAATTTTAGTTTTTCCTTCCCGACTGGATCAGTCCCAATAGCATACAAAAATGTTCTTTCACCATACATTAAAAACAATAAAATATACGTGTATATATACTTGAACTCAACAACCCTGAGACTGAGAGTTGCACACTCTACAGCCAGCCACTCCAAAACTATTTTAAAACCATACTTCCCATATTTCTTTCCTCTCTTCAAAGAGTTGTCGATACTTACCACTGTCAATTTCTCTCCTTCACAATCTCTCTTGAACCCTTTTGAATCACGTTTTTGATCCTATCACTCCACCAAATCCCCCCATCAAAGCCACCAATGACCCTCATGTTGCTAAATCCAATGGTTAAATCTCAGCCTTCATCTCACTTGACTGATTAGCAGCATTAGATACAGTGAAAGACTCCTTCCTTAAAGCATTTTGTTCCGGGGCGCCTGGGTGGCTCAGTAGTTAAGCATCTGCCTTCGGCTCAGGTCATGATCCCAGTGTCCTGGGATCAAGCCCCGCATCAGGCTCCCTGCTCGGCCGGGGAGCCTGCTTCCCTCTCTCCCACTCCCCCTGCTTGTGTTCCCTCTCTCGTTGTGTCTCTGTCAAATAAATAAATAAAATCTTTAAAAAAAAAAAAAAGGCATTTTGTTCTTTTGGCTTCCGAAGTATCACTTCCGGTTTTTCTTCCTCCTCCTAATCTTCTTGTGGTTCGTTTATTCTTAACTTCTAAATTTTGGGGTGCCTCAGGACTCATCCTTGAATGTATTCTCATTCTACAGTTATTCCTTGATGATCTCATTTAATCTCTTCAAATACCATTTAAGTGCTAATGATTCCCAAATGTATTTTTCTCACCGGACCACTTCCCTAAATCCCAACTAATTTTTTTCAACAGCCTAATCATATCTACACTTCAATTTTTAATAGATATATCAAAATTAACATACAAAAAACTTAATTACTGGGCACCTCCCAGCCCTGTCTATCCCATTTCAGTTAAATCACTCCATCCTTACAGCTACTCAAGCAAAAAAACCCAGAACCAAACAAACAAAAACACCCTACAGGTGGTTTTACATTTTTTATATCTTTATAAAAGATATATACCTTTTATATCTTTTTAAAAAGATTTTATTTACTTTCTTTATATAACTTTTTTATCTTTACATTCCACACCTTTGTATCTTTTACATTCCACACCCAGTTTATGAGCTCTTCCTTCAAAATACACCCAGAATCCAACCACTTATTATTTTCACTGCTACCACCTAAACCAAACCAACACCCTATCTCACCTAGATAAATGTACTATTTCAAATTGACAGCAAGTGATATTTTAAAAATATAAGTCAGATCTTCTCATTTCTCTGCTCAGAACCCTCCACTGAGGGTTATTTGCTCACATAAAAGCCCAAATTCTTAACATTCACCTATAAGGCTCTACGTCATCTGACTCTATCTGTCCCCTCCTCCCCACTTCTGTCCACTCATTCTATGATACACTAATCTCATAGCTGGTTCTTGAATTGTTGAGGAATGCTCCTATTCCAGAGTATCTGTATCAGCTGTTACTCTGTCTGCATCATCCTTCCCAATTCTTCCAATATTCTATCTGTATCTATCACCTCCTTTAATTTTTTGGCTCACATGCCATCTTCTCATTGAACCATATCCTGACCGCCACATGGAAAACTGCAGCCCACTCAACCCTCCCCATCATCCTTACTCTGTCTTTTCTTTCCATAGCACTTCTCTTCTATTGTACCATAAAAACTATTTAAATCTGTCTCTCCCACCACCTAAATATGAGCTAGTTACACAAGGGTTGGGACTTTTGTCCATTTTGTTCACTCTTGTATCCTGAGTACCTAAAACAGTATCAGACATAATAAACACAACACATCATAGCTTTTCAATCAACACATAATAAAACTAACCTCTTGGTGAACTGTTATCTGATTGGGATGATTTGTTGTTTTCCTTTTCTTTACAGACGTAGGTATGCTGCAATACTCTTTTCTCAGCTCCTTTAGGAGTAAAAATTTTCTTTTCACTTTTCGGTGGTTCCAACAAACTACAGTTTCCTGATGCTTGTTCTTGCTTGTCACGCAGTACTTTTTCTTTCATTCTTTGAAATATTTTTCCTGGTGATTCATAGTTTGCTTTGTTTTTTAATCTATCCTTATTGGGCTTTATGGCACTGATATTAAGAGAGCTGTTAGAGGTGGTAGCCTCTGCTAGCATGGTGGAATGAAATATATTTTTATTATTAAAATTTGTCACTTCTAGAAAATGATTCTTTTTATGGTCACTCAATGTTAAAGAGGGGTTCTGATATTTTGCCAAATCTTTTACAGGAGTAAGTGTGCCTGCAGGAATGCTGTCAAAAAAGATTGCATGCATGGGCGTATTTCTTCTTTGAGAAGATGTCTCTGAAGACAAATAAATTCCTGGATGTTTCAAAGGTGTTGCGATCATCTTGATAAACAGTAGAAACAAATTTTCTCTAACAGATAATTCACTTAAACACAATATTCAGGATAGCAGACCTTCATTCAGCAGGGGCCCAGAGGAACCTGTAATTCAATGTGAAATCAACCTTTATCATGCTTTGGTGCAAAAAAGTTTATTTGCTTTCCATAACAATATTATTCTAATTAAAAGGCTTAACTGGTTCATAACAACACTGGATAATCCATAGCTCACAAATCTAAGGCTTTATATTTTTGTTAAAGACTCATTTTATTATTATTTTAGATGAACAGTTTGGTCTTTAAATTTACTTCTCTAGAAAAAAGCAGTATTCAACAAATCATCTACTTAGTAACTATAAAAATTGAACTTCGAGTATCTGATTTTTAAAATACTTGAACTTCAAGTCCTGGAGGTTCCAATCCAATATCTGCATCAAAAAGCATTAAATCACATCTGCATATGGCACTATATTAGACTATAAAAGATTAAATTTCACAAACATCGCTTTTCCTTTTAGGCACTTAAATTTTAAGGCAGCAGCTAAGATGATACATCCTAATGAAAGCTGAAAGATTCACTCAAGTTTTTAATTAAATAATTCCCAATCCTGATTTTGTTATGCTGCTGAACATTTTAACTATGAGGTTTTGGTTGAAAAACTCTCAAATCAAAAGTAAACTATACTCATTATGATTTTTAAAAAAATTAATACTATTTAGAATTTTTAGAGGAAATCATGTACTTGAGCATACATGGTCTTAGACTTGTTTTAGCTTGTTTTTATAAATATATTTTATTTCCCACACCTACAAATTAAGATTCTAGGTGATGAACCATATAGTTGCATTTTGTAATACTTGGTAAATAAATAAAACATTTCCACCTAAGGAGCTTGGAACTTACTAGTTTCAACTTACTGCATCTCTATTGCTGTATTTATAACTATTCTAATCAGTATTTAACATCATATAAACAAAAAGTGTACCAAGAAAATACAAATGCAGTCAGATCAAAGAAATCAAGTATCTCTAAGTAACTTGTGTGAGAAGTATGCAAGTTAAAAATTCAGACACAAATAGCATTTTATCCAACAGTTTATAAGAGAAAAAAGGGAAATATTCCTCAATAACAAGAGCTGACAAAGGCGGCTATCTGGGCAATCTAGTCCTGTGACACAAAAACTACTGAATTCTTCCGCAGAATGTTAATTCAGTAAATATATACTAATAATGCATAGATTTATGTGTTTGGCAACGTGCTAGTGATAGGAATCCTGTGCTGAGAGTTAAAATACTCACTAGTGGTTCACTTTAAACTCTCAAAATAAAAAATGAATAAATTGGGACAACTGCACACTAAAAATTGGAAAAGTATGTACAGGTTCACATAATCTCAATTCTTCACAACCTAATGAAATGCTCAACAGGAAGTATAAAATGCAAATAAACTAGTCAAACTGAAAACAGGCCCAATCTGTAGTAGACAAACATTACTGTTTTCATCTAAAGGCAGATAATTATGGTCCCACTGAGAGGCTCGAAGAACCAGCATATAACTCCTCTTTCATGTTGCCCAACCTCCTCCCTCCCAATTCAAACATGTAGTAGGATGGAGGTGAGTAGTCAAGATTCTGGAAAACCCCAAATTCCACCCCCCCTCAAAAAAAGACACAGAAGATTCCTAGGAGCCCCTCCTTCCCACTGTGTGATGAATAGCAACTCAACAGACGCCAAAAGAGTTGGCAATAGTTACGGTTTCAGTGTGGTTGGTGGAAAAGAGGATGTAGAGGAAAAAAAATTATCTAGGATTTTCTGCCCATAGAGGCTTTGCAGAATAGATACAGAAGAAAAACAGGAAATCACCAGGTAGAGGCCAAACCCTTAAAGCCCCATTCTCCTCCTAGTTAACAGAAGAGCAAAACAAAGAAAACAGATTATGATGCTCAGACTCTGATGGAAGAGACAGATGTTAGAGGATGGGGATTCAGTAACAGGCATTCCTCAGGTTGAGGAAAAGAGTATCCTGAAGGCCAAGCACAGGCTTAACCTAACAGATGGAGGTCACTAACAAGAAATTGTTAGTTCCTTCTTGGACTAGAGAAGAGAAGGTGAATTCTAAAATGGTATGCTTGTGCTTCACTAACTGCTTAAAACTATTTGGAAAATCTAATTGTTGCCATTTATTCTGAAAATTGACAAATGCTGATGTACTAAGAAAAAAATTGCTATTTATTTAAAATAAAGACTTGGGCATGAGAAAACCATTGTATGAAAAAGCTAGCTATGAGCACTTTATAGTGTATGTAAATATATAGGTAAGGCTAAACAACTGTTTTTATCATGGATATGATTCTAAATGTAACTATTACTCTTCTTCCCAAAATTACATGAAAAGTTCTTCTAGGAATTTACTATAGTGGTAGCAGTAATAATAATAATAATAATAATTATTATTATTATTGTAATTATAATGGAAAGGGTAAAAAATCCCAAAGCACACTAACCAAAACTGGGAGGTGGAGATGGGAAAAAATGAGAGGAATTTTAAGTTAACCGGCAAATGATACACTTGGGGGGAAACAAACAAAAAACCCCAGCACTTGACATACAAAGGAATTGATTCAACTCAATTACTATAAATAACATTCAAAGTGACCAAATGAATCAATTTAAAAAAATGATCAACACAGAAAATGGCCAGAAGGCATGAAAGGCAATTAATAAAGAATACAAAAAGCCACTGAGTCAAATGACACTTCATTTTACTAATAAGTGAAGAGATGCATATTTAAACAGTGGGTCTTCTTGTTTATCAGATTGGAAAAGATCAATTTCAAAATATAGGTGTGCATGCTATTGACTAAGAAATTCCATTTCTAAATCTTTTTCTTACAGAAACAACTACATGAAGAATGCAAATATATAAGTGGTACTAACAGTCAATATTTACGGCATGGACATCAGACACTACATAACCTTACAGCAATTCTGGAGAGTTTTGAAGATGGGGAAACTAAGGCACAGTAGTTAAATAACCTACCCAAGGTCCCACTGACAACGATTAAGAGCAGGACCTAAGTCTGACTTCAAGGCCCAAGTCCTTAAACAAGCACTATACAGTTCACTGAAGTACAGGACAAACTATAAACAATTTAGATCTCCACCACTATGGTGCTACTACACCCATACAATTGAATTCTATGTATTCAATAAAAAGATATATTCCTGAATATGTACTGACGTAGAAAATAGCTAGGATATATTAAATAAAAAAGGAAGGAGTAGAAGAGGACGTACAATTGCATTGCTGTAAAACACATGAGCATAAGCACAGGGAAAAAAAATCTGGAAGTGTACCAAATTGTGAACAGTGCTTAACTTTGAAAAGTGGGATGAAGGGGCCCTCCGTTTTCTAAATAATTTTATTAACATCTACGTTATGTTTGCAACCATTACACGTGTAATTTAACCAGAAGAAACGAGCTCGATGGTTCAACTGTTTCTATAGCACCGTGGATCATTGGGTCCAAGGGCAGGGATGCACACAAATCACAAGTTTTTTACTCCAAGTGATTTTAGAACAAGGGCCTCGAGCGTTCACCATCGAAACGAATCTGAACGAAAGTAGACACGCAACAACTATGTACACAACGAATGAGCAGTTTTGAGACCCCTACCAATGCCAAAAACGTACAAAAGCCCACGCGGGCCGAAAACGCTGAGGGGCTGGGACTCTCAGCACCAGAGGGGACCGACGGCAGGAGGCGAGGGGACCGGGGCAAGTTCATACCTTGGGTGACGGGCCTGAAAGGGCTAGAGGGCGGCAGTCCGGGCTTGGCTTCGCGTGGGGTCAAGGCTCGCGCCTCTGGCCCAGGTTAGCTCCAGCCCCCCGCAGCCCGGCCTCAGGTGACCCTCACTTCCTCCGCGAGGTTCCCTGACACCCACAACAGTTTGGGAATTCAAATTTGAAGAGCCCGCCCTTCAGCCAGCCCCTACTGGCGCGCTCAGGAACTGCGTCACCGTGCGACTCGAGAAAACGGGGTGGCCCCTACCGCGCGGACAATGGGCTGTTTCCACAAAAGGAGGGTAACCCCAAGCTGCCAAGAGCACCGAAAGCGCCGCTCTAGTCTTCTGCAGAATTCGTTTCGTTTTCAGAGGGCGCGCGCCCCTAGCGCCTTGCGCCGCTCCTCCCGTTATGCTCTGCGGCAGGAAGGCTTACGTCAGACGTCGCTTGCGCTCTCCTGCGCTACCGCGGTTTTTTAGGTTTGGCCTTTCTCAGCTACCCTCCTCCCCCACTGGTTTGATAGCTGGTGGTGGTGTCTGTTGCTTACCTGTCTGAAGAAACAGCTTTCCGAGTTCGTTTGAGAGAGCTTTTAGTTTTCTATGGCCGTCTCATTTGAGAATGAGAAAGAACGTTTTGTCCTTGAGAGGATAAACGACTGAATGCAAAGTTATACTTGCAATGGAATGTTTAATTTGAGCTGTTTCCCCAAGCTGTTCCCCAAGTGATGTTTTCTGAACCTGATTTTATCGAATCCCAAAAGCTTTAATCTTGACGACTCTGTTGCAAAGCAGTTTGTGACGGTGCACTGAGACTGAGCCCTGCCAGTGATGCTCTACTCTAACCACCGCGGATTATGGTGCATCCTTCACCTCAGCGCCTTGGCAAGACGCGTTCGCGGGCTGGGAGCTTTGCACACGGCGCCCTGTTTCAGTCTTGGGGGCGGAGAAGGAGGAGCCAGAGGAGTAACGAATGTTTTCCGTTCTAAACCCCTCCGGCTCTGATCCAGCATCTTCTCTCCACTAACTCCGTCCCCCTCCCCAACAAGTCAGCATGGGACAGGAGAGTTCATTGTATTCCTCATCCAGGAAAATTCCGCAGCATCCTAGAACCATATATCGCATTTTTCCGTTAACACTGGACTGAACTGGTTGTAATGGATTAATTGTTTAAAGTGACTTTTGCAATCCCCTCGTCTAAATTCTGTTTTCACTAAATCTTGT